TTAAAGTTTTCTAAATAACTCATGTACAGAATGTTCGAGAGAATAGTATTCAGTTTTAATAGTTGAATTCATGAGTCGATTGAAGCGAGACCATCATAGAAAACCTGGAAGCACTAGATGGCCGTTTTGTCCTAGCATGAGGTTCCTCAACATTGCGCATCCACAATCCCGCCTCACGGGATTCCAACCCAGGATTCATCACTAAGTCAACAGCCAATGGTGTTAATGTTTAACTTCAACCAATTCACTACTATTATTATTAAAATGATGTCTGTATGAAAATTCATACTTGATCATGTGTAATATCCTATACACATATTCCGTATTCTATCTAAAATGATAATTGCTTAAATATAGGAATTGAAGTGGGAGGTTGATTATGAATACAGTGGTCTTGAGCGCTGTTAGAGGTATGAAGGCGGTTATCACTTCCCGGTTGCCCACATCGTGGAAGGGTTCTTCTGAAGGTAGCTGAAAGGAAATTGGATTAGAGGTGGTCTTAGTGACCTGAGAGTGTGACGGCAATGCTGAAGGGACAACTTCTTGAGGTCGGTCACACACGACCCTTTTATGGGTAATTTTTATGTTAGCTCCCTACTTGTTGAGACCTTAGCGCCGGAGACGGATATCCGTGGGATAAGGTGAGGTGTGCATTTTTAAGGTCGACCTTTTCTAACCCCACCCCTCCTTGTGGGAAGGCAGCATCGCTGTTATGCTGGTTGTCTGAAGGAAACACCTTACTGCTGTCACATGGTAGGACATTGAGGAACGGTTGTTCCAGCCATTATAGCTCGGTTGCTTCATCACGATAGGCAAGCCCAACCACCACGTCAAGGTAGCAACAACGGTCGTGTGCGCGGCAGTCCGTTCTGTTTTAATTTACGGCAGAGAAACATAGCCATTAAGAGTAGGAGATACTCGTAAGCTACTAGCGTTTGACCATAGAAGCCTTAGAAATATTGCTGGCGTCTGCTGAAATCACCGGGTAAGTAATAGTGAGGTTAGACGCAGAGTATTAGGGAATGATGGTAAATCAGTTGATGTGGTTGTGAATCTTCATCGACTGAGATGGTCGGGCTACGTGTTGAGTGTGCCTGAACACCGACTACCACGACGTGCAATGCTAACCGGTGTTGGAAATGGTTGAAAAAAATTTAGGGGTGGCCAAACCAAAAACGTGGCATCAGTTCATGAAGTCACTAATTTCTAGTCTAAACCATGTTGATAGATGCAGACTACTTGGTTGGGGTCCGTGTGATTATCGTAGCCAATGGTTGGAGATTCTTGGTGACATGGCTCAGAATCGATCACAATGGGGTCCGTGTATGCACTCTCTGTCTTCCCTTAAACTAAGAGATTAAAATCACTTCATATCTTTCTTTCTACGAACTAATTCTTTCTTCCTGTACTATATCCTTATATTCAATCTTTCTTTTATATATTACCACCATTGAATTAACTACTTTTATGAATCCGGTGTTTATCTTTCTGTGCTAATGTTCTATGGCAACTTGGACCGATGCATATATGTGCTTGGTCCTACGTTGTAGCTGACTGACTGACTGACTGTTGCTTAAATATCTCTCTGTGACTCAGTCGGTTTCCCATATATGTTCTTGAATCATATTAGTTAATCCAAATCAAAATTCTACACTATTATTCACTTACTCGCGCTCATTAGTCTTTCTTTTTGAATTCACTTTGCGCTTGTCGCATTGTTATCTGAAATATCCAGTAATAAACTATACTGGGCTCTTAATATTGTCTTCTAATTTCTTACACGGCCAGGATTTATTTAATAAAAGTTATCAGAGTACTTTGGATCATTAGTAATTGACTTTTGTTATGATGTTTGTACTTAATCTTACATCATGATTCAAGATAGTAAGTCAGTCAATCAGTGCCTACCTCAAATTCAATGTTAGACTTTGCTAATTTGTCAAATGCTGAATTGTAGGATCACACTTGACTTATCAAAACAGCATTGTATATTCAATCTACAACATGTGATTTCAATCATATTATGGTAAAACAAAGATTTCGATTTGCCTCCACGTTGTGAATCGCATGAGTATGTTGAAAGGAATGGAAGTTATATGAAATTGATGAATCATATGACCGTTAGAAATAAGAAAGCAGTTAATACCGAACGGTTGACTATATGTGTACTCAAAGTAAAACGCATCGGGAGATACAACTGACTCATCCGACGTGAAGATTACATCACCAAATTATTCAGGGAAGCTGATCACAACTTCGTCCATGAACTATCTGAATAAACACAATGCCAAACTCAGATTATTATTTTAGTTATATGATGAAAGTAAGCAACGTAAGTAAATATATACTTCACAGTGTTAATTAGACTGCTAAGGGATGATGATTATATGAAGAATAAGTAAAACTTTTAGGTGGTGTTTTGTTCTCTGAGCTGGATGGTTTGATCGTGGAGCTTTCATCGTTTTTCTGAACGACATCATCAGCACAAACTTCAGATAGAAGTGAAGTGTTCGAATTTCTCCATATGTGTTTCACAGCTTGTTCTGTGCACCTCGATGTTGATTGGTTCTTGCTGACTTTAAATTTATCATTGTTTACTTCCTCGTTTTGGTTGTGTCTCCCATTGGTTTGATTTTTGTTCCTATATTTATGCATGATTTTCCTGATTGGCTGATAGATTGGATTGATTTCAATATGTTTGTTGATTGCTGATTGACCTGAGTGCCAAGCTTCTAAAAATTCTCTGGTGTTTTTGGAGTTTCCTTTGTCTAAGATTTCTATATTTTCCCAATCGAATGAATGTCCGTAGTTATCCACGTGTATTGATATAAGTGAAGAGATATCATGGCGTTTGACTGCTAATTGGTGTTCATGTAGGCGTAGGTGGAGGGGGCGTCCGCTCTGTCCGATGTAGTGTTTGTCGCAGTTGGTACAATTTATTTTGCAGATGATGTTTGATTTGTTTTCCTTTGTTATTTCATCTTTTGGTTTGCATAGGATTGATTGTAATGATTTCGTTGATTTGTGTGCCACACCTATCCCGAAGGTTTTCAGCGGTCTCGTTGTGGTTTCTGATATTCCTTGTATGTACGGTAGGGCGATCCTTTTGTTGATTTTTGTGCTTGATTTGGGTTCTAATGCTGTGTGCCGTTGGTGCTTTTTGATGAAGTTGATTGGGTAGTCGTTCTTTTGAAATATATCCTTCAGGTATTTCTCTTCATTTTTTCGTGCTGCCAGTGTGTTGCAGTGTGTCCTCGCCCTCTTGAACAAAGTGTGTACGCAGTTGATTTTGTGAGCTCTTGGGTTGCTGTTGTAATTGAGGATTTGATCTGTATGGGTCGGTTTCCTATATACTTGAGTTTCCAGTTTTCCTGTATCGGTTCTAGTGATCAATATATCCAAGAATGCTAGTTGGTTGTTTGACTCCTGATCCATTCTAAACTTGATGTCGTTGAAAACGTTGTTGATCAGTTTGTATGTGTTTTCCAGTTCATCCTTTTTGACGATGACAAAGGTGTCGTCTACGTAGCGAAACCAAATTTTTGGTTTGATCACTGGTAATATCGTGGCTTCTAGTCTTTGCATCACTGCTTCTGCGATCAGTCCTGATATTGGTGATCCCATTGGTGTCCCTTTTGTTTGTTCGTAGATTTTGTTGTTGAATTGAAAATATGTTGTTAGGCGTAAATCGATGAGTTCCAGTGTACTTTTAATTTGAAGCGTCGTGTATTTGGTGAGATTTGTGTCGTTGTTGAGTAGCAGGGGTATAGTTTCTTTTGCTAGCTGTGGTTCAATTGAGGTGAACAGTGCTGTTACGTCGAAGAATATCATGAGTTCGTCGTTGTTGATTTGAATATCCTTAATTTGGTCCAGGAATTGTGTTGGGGATTTGATGGAGTGATTGGCTGAATCTACTAGATGTCTCAGTATTCGTGAAATTTCTTTTGACAAATTGTATGTTGTCGTTGCCATTAAAAAATGTCTTGGATGCCTTTAACACATTATTCATATGTCGACTGCCGACAAACAACTGATTCTTGATATCTTTTGCTTACTTCTTTATTTACTTAGACAAATATCACCAATGCTTGATAGACTCTTATGCATAGAACTACTTTAATTATGACTGTATGGCTTTCACAAATGAGTCACACGTGAAAAATGCTTCCTTCACTGAAATCTCTTCAATTTGCATAAACCTTATTCCTCTTCATTCAACACCAGTCAGTTGAACGTGAACAATTCAAAGTTCTTAACAGGATTCAGTTACGTGAAATACATGAGATAAACACAAACATGGTGAATTGGTTCATTTCTATCTTGACAAAGTTTCATATGAGCTTCATTTCCATACTTTGACCTACTCAATCTATAAATCAGTTCAATGAAATTCAACTGAGGTGAGTGTAGTTCAACGAAGTTCATTGAATAAGGACTCTTATATTTCAATCAAAACACATGTCACATAGTTGAATATAGTTGAATGAACTTGTATGTTGGACTCGTAGTGACATTTGGCCCTAATACGAGATAATATGTCAAATAGCTATTCAACATTTAACACGAAGAAAAACCCAACTATGAAGAAGGGAAGAATGAATAGAGTGAATTCAAATTGAACGGACGGCATGGCTCAGCCTTGCAGGTGTGGCCAACCTTAACTGTTGTAACATAATCTTTTATTCATATTAAATATATTGTTCTATCTCTCTAGTCTAAGTTTGTTCTCCATGGTACTTGTTACGATGCAATGAGTTGGTGTAGACAATGATGTGACTTTCATGTAATATCTTCTAGATTAGGCAGATACATCATTACAAATTCACGATTTTACAATCAGGTCTATTATTGAAGCAGTACCAGTGTCATAGTGGATCATAATTCTACAGACTATCCTGCTAATTCTATATGAACGAAGTGATGGTAAGTGAAATGGCGATGAGTTGACATTGAGCAGTAATTCCATGTTGAAATTCCCTGGAATAGTATGATAGTTACAATTAAGGAATGATATCAGTTATATTTATTGTATTTTCACATAACATGCATAACGTATTGTAATGAATCGACGATAAGTAAGTACAATGTCTATGTAATAATGGAATACGGACAAAATGTCCATCACATCGACCATCTTCATTAACTGCAGTAAAATCTTCATTTGCCAAGAAAAGAGTGACTGTATCCTGAATAAAACAAAGAAAATATATCAATATTATAAACATCTCAATAGTTGAGATCATATGTCGATTGAATACCGTTTAGAACATCATGGAAAACTTGAAAACACTAGACGGTGGTCTACTCACTTGGTTTCGCTTGCAGAATTATCTTTCGACTCTCCACTAAATGGAATATGAAAGTAGACAAGATGTAGATCACGATATACAACTTCAATTATTTAACTAATTGTAGTTTAGTTAAATCAGTATACTGAACCATTTTGAATTGTATTAGTTATGTTATCAAATTCTATACTACCAATGTTTCTATGGAATATTTACGTTTTCGGTGATTATATCTAATGGTGAATCACAAAAGGGATAGTAAATGAGGACACATAAAAAGTGTACATATGTACTAATGTCCATGAAACTAAACAGTGTTCTCACTTTCAATTAAACTTTCATTCACCTTGGAAATTAATGATATACTGGTGGAAATATAATCATTTATAATAGTACACGTACTTTAATAAGCAATACACATTCATATTGTTAGACTTTAAGGACATGAAAAAGATCATGTTTATTTGGTTTCATGTAACCAAGTTGTGAATAGAACATGTGAAATATGATAAATGCATTTGTATATTGTGTAAGATCTCGCTTTCCCATCAAGTGTTTATCGTGAATTAGCATACACAAACGGAAAACCAAGGTCCTCAAATTCAAAACGGAGAATAGCAATCCAATCACTCTTGATGACGAAACTTTGGAAGATGTCGAATCCTTCACATACCTGGGAAGCATCATCAATGGACAAGGAGGTTCACATGCAGACGTAAAGGCGAGGATTGGTAAAGCAAGGACAGCATTCCTACATTTGAAGAATATATGGAACTCGAAACAACTTTCAATCAATATCAAAGTGGAAATCTTCAATACGAACGTCAAGGCAGTTCTACTGTATGTACGGAGCTGAAACTTGGAGAACTACAACGACCACCATCAAGAATGTACAAGTATTTATAAATGGTTGTCTACGCAAGATACTCAACATCCATTGGCCGGATACCATCAGCAACAGCCTTCTGTGGGAGAGAACAAACCAACTTCCAGATGAAGAAGAAATTAGGAAAAGACGATGGAAATGGATAGGACATACATTACGCAAATCATCAAACTACATCACGAGGCAAGCCTTAGCTTGGAAATCCTGAAGGGAAGCGGAAAAGAGGAAGGTCAAAGAACACATTGCGTCGGATAATAGAAGCAGATACGAAAACGATGGATTTCAACTGGACGGAGCTAGAAAGGATTGCCCAGGACAGGTTTGGATGGAGAATGCTGGTGAGCGGCCTATGCTTCTTCATGAGGAGTAACAGGCGTAAGTAAGTAAGTAAGTAAGTAATAAATTAGTTAGTTAGTAAGTTTATCGTGAATTGTTTATGAACACACTGGTATGATTTCAATATTTCTCATTAAGATCTGTCCTAATTTGAAATGCACTTCTAGCTGAAGTTGTCTTATATTGTTTGATTATGTATCTGATTATATTACCATGGACAGAGTGAATGCTGATAATTACACACCTATTATTATCACTCTGTTTATTTCACTGATCATGGACGGGAAATTGAAAAGTATACAAGATGATTGATAGACTCATTCAATTACTTTACTCCTTATTGTCATTATACACGTTGTTACAAACCGATCTTTTAGCAATAGTTCACATTTGAATGTATAAAAATGCCTCTCAAACATCGCGCTAGTGATACATTAGGTTGGAAGGACCTACGTATTGAGCAGATTCATACATTTGTCTGAAGATGCCACATTTATTCGGAGTTTGACAACGCTTTATTCCGTAACATCTTCTAATATGAATCGTATCCACCAAGTGAAATCAAAAGACAGAAGCAAGAAGGTTCTAAGATATATTTGAGAAGCTATCAATATATCGAGAGTCGTCTGATCTAATCTGGCTGGGGATTGCATGGGTTGTTGAATACGGCGTTCCCACTCGTGATCTGGTTCGGATGCATGACCGAACGCCTTCAGCTAGGTGAGTCCAGTGAAGCTAATGTGGTCAGCATCCAATGTCGAAAACTTACGGATCTATTTATTTTGGGGATTTATTTGCCGCTACATGTCTATTAAATCTCAAAATTCGCCTAGTTATAACTTATCAGCGTCACATTCATTTTATGAATGACTTACGACTAAATGGTGTTCTAATTACTGAAAAACTCGAGGAGATAAACCTCAGTTTCTAGCATAGTTGCTCCCTAGAATATACTTTAAGAGGCATGTGCCATATATGATGAACTAATCTTGTGAATAATTCACGTTGATTTAAGTTGGGTTGCATTTACTGGCTGTTAGAAGATGGTAGTTTATTTTCGAACAAACATATTACGTTCTAGAGAAAATTAATGCTGGGAAACGCCTGATGAGACAAGTTTTGTACTTTTGATTAAGATTATTATTAATATTTGATGCGGCTTTTGTGATCAAGGCATGGTGGTAAATGTTTTGAGGCTCGAGTAGTCAGTCCTTCTGAAGTTTTATTGCCCCTATCCCCAAACTTACTTTTTTGAACAACATGTTTGTACTTCATTTGAAACTCTAGTTGAAACCCTATTGGGAATCAACATATTCCTCAGTGATAGTAATTCTATTTGTTTATTCACTCTCACTTCTGAACTATTGAGGATGTGGTCCAAATTGAACGACATTTGTTTTTCTTAAATGAACTACTTATAAGTAGTCAACACGATATATATATATATATATTTATCGACATGTGGGTTTTCTAGTGTCTAGCCTCAACCAATCCATGAATCCCGCGAGCGGGACCGTGGATGCGCACTGCTGAGGAGTCACACAATAGGACGAAACGGCCGTCCAGTACTTCCAGGTTTTTCATGATGGCCTAACATCAATCGGTTCATGATCTTAATTATTGAAATTATTATAATATCTACGAAACCCATCTGATATTCATGGATTATGTTTAATCTAAAAAGAGACTTAATAGACTGTCCTTTTAATTATAGTGAGTTTATTTACATGAATGATATCATAGAAGATCCAATAAACCTCACAGATCATACATTTTCAAAAGTATTCAAATCATTCGATTCTGAACCCTGCCTACCACCCAGTAGGGAGTTAAGGAAGGACTTTACATTGAAACTGGGTTTTAAATCAGTAATTAGTTGAACTTTTATAACCACAATTAAAAAAGTAATTTTAAGCTACACTGAGACTGAAATAGCATGAAGCGGTTACATTTGTAAGTATGTTTGTACTCCTCAGTAAGTAATGCGCATTCACAATTAGTAGTGACAAATGGTCGTGAAAAAAATAAACACTTAGTATTGTTGGGGAGATACAGAAACGTCCTCACACCTTTTCTCTCGTGTTCAGATTGTGGTTTAGATTAAGTCTGAAGGTTGCTAGAAGAGATTAGGGAAACAAATCTAACGTTCTGTTAAAAGATCTATCACTTATCCAGTTAATGTACATGATGAACATTCATTCATATCCCATAATAAACAAGGATAAAAAAAAAATTTCCTCAAAGTAACCAAAATGTGACCATATAATAAGTGAATACAGTCATCATAATAAGTAAACTGTGATTCCATGGGAAATGTGAAATATAATTCGAAAATCATTTGGTGTTGTTTTACTTGTATCTTCCCATTGTTATTTAGGACTGTAAATAATCAGTCTCTGATTGGCATATGTGCATACTGTAAGTATTGCCTCTATATTGCCTTAATTCACAAGCTTTATAGTGGTTAGCAGTGAAATCTAGTTTGAAGTGCGTCACTTCGTCCTATTTGGAACTTGTCAGTTAGATGTACCTGCATCTCAGAGTTGATATCCACTGTGGGACTGGAACCCAGTACCGTTTGCTTCAAACACCATCTCGTTATCCACCCAGCTATTGGGTCTTGATAGCTACCTGCTTTTGCTAACGAGTCCTAAGTAGGACAAAACGTGCGTCTTGGATTCCACTGATAGCCACTGTCCATGTTTGCTTATGATTCGAAACTTTTCAAAATACTTTTCGTCAAATGAATTGATTAAGCTTAATAGTTAAACATCATGTGTTTAGTATAATCAAATGAAAGTAACTATTCATCTAGTGAAATACTTACAGTCCATGCCATTCGTTCCGGTGGTACATTCATTCTCATTCCAGGATATTTTTCAAAATTAAATGGAGCCATTCTCCATAATCGATGATCACCTAATGTTCTTTCGATAACTCTTCCAGTTTTAATATCTGGAACTTGAGGTACTATGACTGGATCGGCTGAAGGATCACCACCTTCTTCTGAACCACTTGAATCATCTTCGGATCCAGGAACAACAGCAGCTAATAGAACAGGTGATTCCCTGAAGAAATTACAGAATATGTTAAATATTTAATACATGATATAAATAAAAGTCAGCCTTGGTTGACTATGGTTAGCCTAATAACCAATCTGTTTTTTACCGTATTAATTGATCAGTATTTGGCTGGTTTTATGGACGATAAATGAGATATAGCTAGTCATATGACCACACCAGTTACTGGATTGCCCTAAGTTGTGAATAAATTAATCCTTTTGTACTCAAGACGCTCAACTTCAAGACCAACAAACAGGATTCCTTAAAGATCGATTGTGTACAGACCAAATCGCAACACTACAGATCATTGTGGAACAATCAATTAGATGGAATTCATCATTCTACATCGAATTCATCGACTACGAGAAAGCATTTGGTAGCGTGGACAGGGTAATATTATGGAGGCTTTTTGACACTACAGCGCGCCTGAGAAAATAGTCAATATCATACGGAATTCCTATGATGAATTAAGTTGCAAAATCTTGAATGGAGGACAGTTGACAGACCCGTTCGAAGTAAAGACCGGTGTCAGGCAAGTGTTCATCACAGCAGATACAAATGATTTCAAGTGGGACTCCTCATGATTATTGTTTGTTAGTCTTTAATAGGATGAATGAATTATCATCTACTCTCAACTTGCTTAGGAATAAAGACACAAATAAGTGAAACTTATTAGCAAGACTATAATTTATTGACGAACCAATCAGATTGGCGACGATAGATCTTGGATTTTAGCGCGAAATTCATTCCTACATTTGATTAAATAGTCTTAATTCAATAAAGTCATATACATGTACATAAAAACACACTCACCTTGGGGGTGGAGGAGGTGGTGGCGGTGGTGGTGGTGGTGTTGGTGGTCGTAGTACATCTTTAGCTGCTTCTAATGCAGATTGAATAGCTACTTCTAGTTTTGTACGTTTTCTAGTTTCTGCTGTTCCTGAATCAGCTTGAGTTGTAGTGGATTTTTGTACAGGAACAACCTCATCAGTGAATTCATTACATTGACAAGTAGGAAGTTCATTTATTTGTCGAATAATCTAGAAAATGATACAGAAATCAGTTTGTTAAAAAATCCATTAAGATAATAGTATTATTTCATTAAATACGTCTCAATCATTTATCATCTCTGTGTAATAGTGATAAGCTGTCATCGAAACCATCGTTATCTACATGTGGACTTGTAGTCACAGTGACGGTTATTTTAGATTAACCACCCTCCAATGATGATTTTGTCTGATTCATATTGATTGTTAGAATATATACATCTCACCCGCATATTCCATGATACGGCCGAGAGTGGAAAGAGTTATCTCTCCCTCTCCAAATGCTCTCATATAGCCACGCGCATACAGCCACTATCAGGGAAGTCCTGCACACTGACTTCTCGCTGATAGGGTATTGGTTGCGAAAATGAGAGGACAAAAATCGAATGTTCGGAGCTTTAAACGGGTTGATGGATATGGAGGATCCACCTAGAAGAGTTGGGAAACTCTAATTCCAAAAAATGGTGCACATGGGATACGCGATCCTGAGGGAACAAATGGCGTATGAACCTATTGTTGGTCACCGGCTATTATGGGACTGCATCTTCTGAAGTTGCTCCACTGTCTTGTGGATTAGACCTTTAGGTCGAAAGCTCCGCGTTTGAGCCCCTAAGAAAACCACCTGCTTCGGTCTGGGCACCCGGGTAGTATCACAGCTCACACATAAATCAAGTAAATTATGTGGCGCAAATATATCATGTGACAATATATCATGCATTTTAACGGTTGATAAATGTTTGTTTTTGCATGAAAATAAGTATCATCCCACTTTGTTTGTTGTAGAACTATTTACAGTTTTTATTTATTCTCCAACTTTATGTCTTTCGCTAAGTATTAGTTACTGTGAATAACACTAGTTCAAAAAAATACTTCAACACTACTACTGTGATATGTGCTATTGATGTCGACAGATATAAGTAGTATGTTTGACCAATCAAAAGTGAAATGCCTGGTGGCAGAAAGTTAAGAAGTTCGAAGAAATGAGAACGAGAGCAGTGAATGTCTGATGTAGAAACAAAGGAACAATCAAGTTTGAGACAACTAATTGAAGTAATGATTACCAGATTCTACCAAGATATTCTGTAATGTTTTCTTAAAATACACTTGATTGTTCCCACTTGTGCTTTACCCATTTAAGTGGAGTTTTATTCACGGAGGTAGACACTTTGGTCCTGAAGTTTTGATTATCCTTCCTCTGAGTAACATCATCAGTACAATGTTGTTCAGAAGAATAATGAAAGGTAATGTTATATCCCGATAAGAATAATGAATGATTCATATCGCAGAGGCTGTGATTGGTGTTCTGGACTTAACTGACTGTGCTAGACTAGGACTCTAGGCTGCTCGCACGTGTTTCATGCGTCACTGGTTCAATCGACAATTCACTGCTCTCTGATTGGCGGTCTCATTGCGTTATACAATAAACAGAACACACAGGTTCACAAGTTATAACAGCTAACTATTGTCAACTTACTCGTTGTTGTGTTTCAGTCACATTACTGATTACTTCAGATAAATTTGTTAATAATTGTGTTACATCATTCAAACGTGAATCAACATCATTAAAACGTTGAAATTGATTATCAATCTCTTTGAAACGTTTTTCTAACTCCATTCCAATACCCTGGGAGAAATAGAATAATACAAGAAAAACAACAATGATAATGTTATTATTGGAAGAGAAGAACCCAATCAATCATAAAAGAGGCCAACTACCTTTCGCCTACCTTGTTAACAATGATGCGCTTACTAATCGCTAGTTTAAGATAGATTTCTCAAAGCCCCATTATGATATTATTCCTGATGTAATATAACTAACTGTATTAAGAATGAGCTATTTATTCACTAATGACATAGATTAGTTATGGTATTGGATCGTGAATTAGCAGAAGTTGGAAGTATAAACCATTGGATACTGCAATAGCTGTTAACAAACATCTAATTAGTTATAATATCAATAAGTCTATAGTCCGATTTTGTGTGTCAGCATTGATGAGTAGTTTGCAATTATGAAAAACAAGAAGTATCCAATGTTCTATGCCTTTAAGTGTTATCTGAACTTACATTCAAAATAGAAAACTTGTACAAACACCATAATCATAATGATCAAAACTAGGGTTCAAGAAGAAGGTTCTGAGATTTCTGTCATTTCTGACAGAAAAGTAACGAAAGTTTTATAGTTAAATCATCTGTTTCAGACGAAGCATCATTTACAGAAAGATAGCAGTTTAATAAAGATTACAAATAGATTGAATTACTTAACTCTATGTATCGCAAGTGAATACAAGTCACCATAGTAGACTAATGTTATATGTGACAAAACTGGAGTTTTAACTGGTTTTAAACTAATGAAATTGTTTGCTTTTATTAAATCCGCTAAAACGGAATAGTATATACTGGGACACTCTAGTTATATTGTCAAGCATGCTGGTCATATGTTTAAAATATCCCTGATTTCATTTCAGCTAGTCAACATACGTTCATATTGTTCACTGATATTCTAAACAAATTTAGATTATCATTGAATAGCATCAATATTACCTCTGTAACACTGGACATTTCACTTTTTAAATCCATTACTGGTCCTTGACCAGGACCAACACCTCCACCACCACGAAATACCACAGCACGTGATTCAGCTACACCTCTTTTCCCAGTTGCTTTAGTTGATGGTTCTCTTAAATAATCCATAGCTTTCATATGCTCCCATTTGACCATTTCCCTTTCTTTTTTCACATCGGTAAATCGTACACCTTAATAAGTAAAACAAATGTGAGATAAGCATATCAATGTGTAAAGGATAGTGAAGTTGAAGGTACCGATTCCCCGAAATGAGATGGAAGACAACAAACAAATAGAGAATGTGAAAAAACCTAATAAAATAGTTTGTTAATTCATAACCGTCCAAAGAAGGGTCATAACTTTCATGAATTTCTTCTGAATTCAAAAACTTAGGATCATAGGTTCTGAACCTCATCACTTCCGCTAAATGTAGGAGATTGAAAATGACGAAGGTATATAATACATCGCTTGGAATGATCATAGACAATATCGCTAACTAAATACTCGTTGAATGATATTTTGGAGAAATAGAACTTTGTTATTAGCGGTCAACATCCGAAACTTGGTTTTTTTCATGTTTACGTATATTTCTTTAAAAAACGTCTCAAGCAGTTCATCTCTATCAGTATGCTACTGATAAACTACTACTCATTTAAAGCATCCATTGAGCAGATTATTTTAGCTCTACACATTAAACATATAACCAGATTTCTTATGTAATGGATGTGTGTCGACAAACAAACGATCTCATTCTAAATAGGCTTCTACTTAAACGAGCTATCATCTTGTAACTGTTAAGAACCAGTTAAAATACATACTGACTTAATGAATAAAGGGATCATATACATCGAATTCACATGACAATTCAAAGCTACACATAAATAAGTATCATAATTTACATTGATAACCAGAATTGTTAAAAAAAAATAACAGATTGATTTACAAAATGGATTATATTTTGCTGTTTCAGCATTTCTTAAACTTGCGCATTGATTTCCAATAGCTTTATATGCTTCATAGAAATGCCAAACAATAATAATTGGTGGAGCAAGTGGTGATCTATGAACATAATCATTGATCATTTGATATCTTTGATAATTCCAATAGTATGTTGATGCACTCTCTATTTCTTCGTAGGTTTTACTGGAAAAAAATATCAGTTAAAATGTAGGCTACTTATATTTTAAACAGTAGTTCATCTTATAAATAAAAATAAAGAGAAACAGTGTGTCTTATTTTCCACATTAATTTACAATAAATTGAAATCAGTGATAGTTTAATGAGAAAATCTTTAGGTTAACTCTATGAGATTCTTGGTATTAAAACTAAAGATCTCTGTACGATGGTATAGTTTTAATATCATATTCACACCCATATTAATAAACTTGAAGATGCCACAGGTATTTGGAGTTGGACAACACTTTAACCAGTAACACCTTCTACTATGCATCGTATCCACCAAGTGAAATCAAAAGACAGAAGCTAGGAAGTTCAAAGATATATTTGATAATCTATCAATATATTGTGGATCGACTGATCTAATCTGCAATGATCTAATCTGTTCGGAAAGTAGCTAGAACAACATACATTCCATAAGTGTAATAGTTAATAGTTTCTAGCCAACCTCCTCATTATTTTGTTATTATTAGTACTAGTAACAATACAGTGGAATAATTTCCACTTTTTTTATTCATTGAATAGATCGAACATGTCAAAATCATATGTGCCCTACGAAAACATCACGTTGGCTTGTACCTATTATGCTTGGATTCTATGTGTTATTAACTAATATACTGATGTTCAACTTACTTATTGCCATGTTTTCGTAAGTGTAATCATTACAACTTGTTATTAGTTTACTTACTTACTTACTGACTTATATCTGTTACCCCTCGTGGAAGAGCATAGACTGTCCAACTGGAATCTCCATCAAACTATGTCTTGGACAATTCTTTCCAGTTGTTTACAATTACTATTCATCCTTTTGATATCCGCCCTCAATTTCAGCTCCATATAGTAGAACTATCTTGACGTTCGTATCAAAGATTCGAACCTTGATGTTGGCTGACAGATGTTTTGATTTCCATCACAATTTTATCAAGTTACCATATTACAAGAGTTTGTTTAACCACCACTAATTAAGAGCTATATAACGATTGAGATTCAGATATTATGAGTAAATACTATTTTTATAAATTCCAGTCGTTTCATTTGTACGTACATGTCTTCATCCTTCAATTTGCGTTGCTCCACTGCCTTATAAATTAGAATTGTATGTCAAAGACTCGGAGAGTGGCCTGCTAGGATAGCAACTTACTTCGGTTTAGGTGGCCAGTCAGTATTTCAGCTCTCACACAAATCGAATGACGATATGTGGCATTTATGTATTCGATACCTCCTTGTATCAATGTTTATATGTTTAGACAAAGAAATTAATAAGTTGCGTGTACTGGGAGAGTTATATATTCATTGGTCTGCACATTGAACTGAACAAGTTCTGTCTGTGTCATAGTTTCTGTAACTATTTTTAAAAAAAAGAAATAATGTTTCACTCGATGAGACTATTATTTACGGACGACCTTTGAACGATGCTAAACTGACATTGAGAGTTACAACTGATTGATCACTGGATGGCGATCAATGTCATGCGTGTCAATAGCATTCGATCTGCACTAATAAGGACTAGACAAGCATGACATTGAGCACCACCCAGTGATCAATCAATTGTGATTATATCTCAGTCCTACAAGAGGTCGGTCGCGGCTCGGACAGCTCAGTGGTAACGTCTCTGACTGTGTAGCTGGGTGACACGAGATCGAATCCGCTAGGGAGCACCAGTGCCCTCAAGATTACAGGTACACCTTGCTGACGAGTGCTAAGTAGTACGAAACCTGAGTCCAGAGTTTCCGGTTGACTACCTCCAACCACCATCTAACCTGGACATTGAGAGTGTCCACCTAATAACCGGAACCAAATAAGGGTTATAAATCAGCGTGAAGAATTTAAATTATGACTTACAGTTGATGGTTAAGGGTTAGGAATTAGACTTAAGGTTTTCATCATAAACTAACGTTGGCTATAATGCCAAAACTCTATTTAATCAAATGGATGAGTTAACTTTGCACAAAAATCTCATACTTGATTTGTTCGTCCATAAGTTGTAGTCTCGCCTTTTAATCTTTTATTGTTGGTTTCATAGAAATGTTATTGAGAATTTCTCATTCAAAACTATAAGATGTTTGATACAGAAAAATACATTCAGCTATCTGAAGTCACTTTTAATAAGATTTCAATTTGACATTTTGATTTGGTGACCATAAAGTGATAGGTGGATTTAATAAGTTTGTAACGGTAAATAAATCCCACAGATAAATAGATCTGTAAGTCTTCGACATTAGATGCTGACCACATTAGTTTGAATGGACTCACCATGTTGAAGGCGCTCAGTTATGCATCCACAGCAGATCACGAGTGGGAACGCCGTGCTCAACATCCCCTGAAATCGGTAGCCAGATTAGATCAGTCGATCCACGATATATTGATAGATTATCAAATATATCTTTGAACTTCCTAGCTTCTGTCTTTTGATTTCACTTGGTGGATACGATGCATAGTAGAAGGTGTTACTGGTTAAAGTGTTGTCCAACTCCAAATACCTGTGGCATCTTCAAGTTTATTAATATGGGTGTGAATATGATATTAAAACTATACCATCGTACAGAGATCTTTAGTTTTAATACCAAGAATCTCATAGAGTTAACCTAAAGATTTTCTCATTAAACTATCACTGATTTCAATTTATTGTAAATTAATGTGGAAAATAAGACACACTGTTTCTCTTTATTTTTATTTATAAGATGAACTACTGTTTAAAATATAAGTAGCCTACATTTTAACTGATATTTTTTTCCAGTAAAACCTACGAAGAAATAGAGAGTGCATCAACATACTATTGGAATTATCAAAGATATCAAATGATCAATGATTATGTTCATAGATCACCACTTGCTCCACCAATTATTATTGTTTGGCATTTCTATGAAGCATATAAAGCTATTGGAAATCAATGCGCAAGTTTAAGAAATGCTGAAACAGCAAAATATAATCCATTTTGTAAATCAATCTGTTATTTTTTTTTAACAATTCTGGTTATCAATGTAAATTATGATACTTATTTATGTGTAGCTTTGAATTGTCATGTGAATTCGATGTATATGATCCCTTTATTCATTAAGTCAGTATGTATTTTAACTGGTTCTTAACAGTTACAAGATGATAGCTCGTTTAAGTAGAAGCCTATTTAGAATGAGATCGTTTGTTTGTCGACACACATCCATTACATAAGAAATCTGGTTATATGTTTAATGTGTAGAGCTAAAATAATCTGCTCAATGGATGCTTTAAATGAGTAGTAGTTTATCAGTAGCATACTGATAGAGATGAACTGCTTGAGACGTTTTTTAAAGAAATATACGTAAACATGAAAAAAACCAAGTTTCGGATGTTGACCGCTAATAACAAAGTTCTATTTCTCCAAAATATCATTCAACGAGTATTTAGTTAGCGATATTGTCTATGATCATTCCAAGCGATGTATTATATACCTTCGTCATTTTCAATCTCCTACATTTAGCGGAAGTGATGAGGTTCAGAACCTATGATCCTAAGTTTTTGAATTCAGAAGAAATTCATGAAAGTTATGACCCTTCTTTGGACGGTTATGAATTAACAAACTATTTTATTAGGTTTTTTCACATTCTCTATTTGTTTGTTGTCTTCCATCTCATTTCGGGGAATCGGTACCTTCAACTTCACTATCCTTTACACATTGATATGCTTATCTCACATTTGTTTTACTTATTAAGGTGTACGATTTACCGATGTGAAAAAAGAAAGGGAAATGGTCAAATGGGAGCATATGAAAGCTATGGATTATTTAAGAGAACCATCAACTAAAGCAACTGGGAAAAGAGGTGTAGCTGAATCACGTGCTGTGGTATTTCGTGGTGGTGGAGGTGTTGGTCCTGGTCAAGGACCAGTAATGGATTTAAAAAGTGAAATGTCCAGTGTTACAGAGGTAATATTGATGCTATTCAATGATAATCTAAATTTGTTTAGAATATCAGTGAACAATATGAACGTATGTTGACTAGCTGAAATGAAATCAGGGATATTTTAAACATATGACCAGCATGCTTGACAATATAACTAGAGTGTCCCAGTATATACTATTCCGTTTTAGCGGATTTAATAAAAGCAAACAATTTCATTAGTTTAAAACCAGTTAAAACTCCAGTTTTGTCACATATAACATTAGTCTACTATGGTGACTTGTATTCACTTGCGATACATAGAGTTAAATAATTCAATCTATTTGTAATCTTTATTAAACTGCTATCTTTCTGTAAATGATGCTTCATCTGAAACAGATGATTTAACTATAAAACTTTCGTTACTTTTCTGTCAGAAATGACAGAAATCTCAGAACCTTCTTCTTGAACCCTAGTTTTGATCATTATGATTATGGTGTTTGTACAAGTTTTCTATTTTGAATGTAAGTTCAGATAACACTTAAAGGCATAGAACATTGGATACTTCTTGTTTTTCATAATTGCAAACTATTCATCAATGCTGACACACAAAATCGGACTATAGACTTATTGATATTATAACTAATTAGATGTTTGTTAACAGCTATTGCAGTATCCAATGGTTTATACTTCCAACTTCTGCTAATTCACGATCCAATACCATAACTAATCTATGTCATTAGTGAATAAATAGCTCATTCTTAATACAGTTAGTTATATTACATCAGGAATAATATCATAATGGGGCTTTGAGAAATCTATCTTAAACTAGCGATTAGTAAGCGCATCATTGTTAACAAGGTAGGCGAAAGGTAGTTGGCCTCTTTTATGATTGATTGGGTTCTTCTCTTCCAATAATAACATTATCATTGTTGTTTTTCTTGTATTATTCTATTTCTCCCAGGGTATTGGAATGGAGTTAGAAAAACGTTTCAAAGAGATTGATAATCAATTTCAACGTTTTAATGATGTTGATTCACGTTTGAATGATGTAACACAATTATTAACAAATTTATCTGAAGTAATCAGTAATGTGACTGAAACACAACAACGAGTAAGTTGACAATAGTTAGCTGTTATAACTTGTGAACCTGTGTGTTCTGTTTATTGTATAACGCAATGAGACCGCCAATCAGAGAGCAGTGAATTGTCGATTGAACCAGTGACGCATGAAACACGTGCGAGCAGCCTAGAGTCCTAGTCTAGCACAGTCAGTTAAGTCCAGAACACCAATCACAGCCTCTGCGATATGAATCATTCATTATTCTTATCGGGATATAACATTACCTTTCATTATTCTTCTGAACAACATTGTACTGATGATGTTACTCAGAGGAAGAATAATCAAAACTTCAGGACCAAAGTGTCTACCTCCGTGAATAAAACTCCACTTAAATGGGTAAAGCACAAGTGGGAACAATCAAGTGTATTTTAAGAAAACATTACAGAATATCTTGGTAGAATCTGGTAATCATTACTTCAATTAGTTGTCTCAAACTTGATTGTTCCTTTGTTTCTACATCAAACATTCACTGCTCTCGTTCTCATTTCTTCGAACTTCTTAACTTTCTGCCACCAGGCATTTCACTTTTGATTGGTCAAACATACTACTTATATCTGTCGACATCAATAGCACATATCACAGTAGTAGTGTTGAAGTATTTTTTTGAACTAGTGTTATTCACAGTAACTAATACTTATCGAAAGACATAAAGTTGGAGAATAAATAAAAACTGTAAATAGTTCTACAACAAACAAAGTGGGATGATACTTATTTTCATGCAAATACAAACATTTATTAACCGTTAAAATGCATGATATATTGTCACATGATATATTTGCGCCATATAATTTACTTGATTTGTGTGTGAGGTGTGATACCACCCGGGTGCCCAAACCAAAGCAGGTGGTTTTCTTAGAGGGTCAAACTCGGAGCTTTCGACCTAAAGGACTAATCCACAGGACAGTGGAGCAACGTCAGAAGATGCAGTCCCATAGTAGCCGGTGACCAACAATTGGTTCATACGCCATTTGTTCCCTCAGGATCGCGTAGTACATGTGCACCATATGTTTGGAATTAGAGTTTCCCAACTATTCTAGGTAGATCCTCCATATCCATCAACCCGTTTAAAGCTCCGAACATTCGATTTTTGTCCTCTCATTTTCGCAACCAATACCCTATCAGCGAGAAGTCAGTGTGCAGGACTTCCCTGATAGTGGCTGTATGCGCGTGGCTATATGAGAGCATTTGGAGAGGGAGAGATAACTCTTTCCACTCTCGGCCGTATCATGGAATATGCGGGTGAGATGTATATATTCTAACAATCAATATGAATCAGACAAAATCATCATTGGAGGGTGGTTAATCTAAAATAACCGTCACTGTGACTACAAGTCCACATGTAGATAACGATGGTTTCGATGACAGCTTACCACTATTACACAGAGATGATAAATGATTGAGACGTATTTAATGAAATAATACTATTATCTTAATGGATTTTTTAACAAACTGATTTCTGTATCATTTTCTAGATTATTCGACAAATAAATGAACTTCCTACTTGTCAATGTAATGAATTCACTGATGAGGTTGTTCCTGTACAAAAATCCACTACAACTCAAGCTGATTCAGGAACAGCAGAAACTAGAAAACGTACAAAACTAGAAGTAGCTATTCAATCTGCATTAGAAGCAGCTAAAGATGTACTACGACCACCAACACCACCACCACCACCGCCACCACCTCCTCCACCCCCAAGGTGAGTGTGTTTTTATGTACATGTATATGACTTTATTGAATTAAGACTATTTAATCAAATGTAGGAATGAATTTCGCGCTAAAATTCAAGATCTATTGTCCTAAATCTGGTCGGTTCGTCAATAAATTATAGTCTTGCTAATAAAACCAGAACAAAAATTTCATTTCTTTGTGTCTTTATTAGTAAACAAGTTGATAATGGATGATAATTCATTCATCCTATTAAAGACTAACAAACAAAAATCATGAGGAATCTCACTTGAAATCATCTGTATCTGCTGTAATGAACACTTGACTGACACCGGTCTTTACTTCGAACGGGTCTGTCAGCTGTCCTCCATTCACGATTTTGCAACTTAATTCATCATAGGGATTCCGTATGATATTGAATATTTTCTCAGGCACGCCATAGTGTTGAAAAGCCTCCATAATATTGCCCTGTCCACGCTACCAAATGCTTTCTCGTAGTCAATGAAGTTGATGTAGAATGATGAATTCCATCTAACTGATTGTTCCACAATGATCCGTAGTGTTGTGATTTGGTCTGTACACAATCGATCTTTAAGGAATCCAGTTTGTTGGTTTTGAAGTTGGGCATCTTAAGTACATAAGGATTAATTTATTCACAACTTAGAACAATCCAGTAACTGGTGTGATCATATGACTAGCTATATCTCATTTATCGTCCATAAAATCAGCCAAGTACTGATCATTTATTACGGTAAAAACAAACAGATTAGTTTTTAGGCTAACCATAGTCAACCAAGGCTGACTTTTATTTTAGTTTATATCATGTATTAAATATTTAACATATTCTGTAATTTCTTCAGGGAATCACCTGTTCTATTAGCTGCTGTTGTTCCTGGATCCGAAGATGATTCAAGTGGTTCAGAAGAAGGTGGTGATCCTTCAGCCGATCCAGTCATAGTACCTCAAGTTCCAGATATTAAAACTGGAAGAGTTATCGAAAGAACATTAGGTGATCATCGATTATGGAGAATGGCTCCATTTAATTTTGAAAAATATCCTGGAATGAGAATGAATGTACCACCGGAACGAATGGCATGGACTGTAAGTATTTCACTAGATGAATAGTTACTTTCATTTGATTATACTAAACACATGATGTTTAACTATTAAGCTTAATCAATTCATTTGACGAAAAGTATTTTGAAAAGTTTCGAATCATAAGCAAAGATGGACAGCGGCTATCAGTGGAATCCAAGACGCACGTTTCGTCCTACATGGGACTCGTTAGCAAAAGCAGGTGGCTATCAAGACTCAATAGCTAAGTGGATAACGAGATGGCGTTTGAAGTAAACGGTACTGGGTTCGAGTCCTAGAGTGGACATCAACTCTGACATGGAGGTACATCTAACTGACGAGTTCCAAATAGGACGAAGTGACGCGTTTCAAACTAGATTCCATTGCTAGCTACTATAAAGCTTGTGAATTAAGGCAATATCGAGGCAATACACACAATATGCACATATGCTAATAAGAGACTGATCAATTGCAGTCCTAAATAACAATGGGAAGATACAAGTAAAACAACACCAAATGATTTTCGAATTATATTTCACATTTCCCATGGAATCACAGTTTACTTATTATGATGACTGTATTCACTTATTATATGGTCACATTTTGGTTACTTTGAGGAAATTTTTTTTTTATCCTTGTTTATTATGGGATAAGAATGAATGTTCATCATGTACATTAACTGGATAAGTGATAGATCTTTTAACAGAACGTTAGATTTGGTTCCTTAATCTCTTCTAGCAACCTTCAGACTTAATCTAAACCACAATCTGAACACGAGAGAAAAGGTGTGAGGACTTTTCTGTATCACCCCAACAATACTAAGTGTTTATTTTTTTCACGACCATTTGTCACTACTAATTGTGAATGCGCATTACTTACTGAGGAGTACAAACATACTTACAAATGTAACCGCTTCATGCTATTTCAGTCTCAGTGAAGCTTAAATTTATTTCTAAATTTTGGTTATAAAAGTTGAACTAATTATCGATTTAAAACCCAGTTTCAGTGTAAAGTCCTTCTTTAACTCCCTACTGGGTGGTAGGCAGGGTTCAGAATGGAATGATTTGAATACTTTTGAAAATGTATGATCTGTGAGGTTTATTGGATCTTCTATGATATCATTCATGTAAATAAACTCACTATAATTAAAAGGACAGTCTATTAAGTCTCTTTTTAGATTAAACATAATCCATGAATATCAGATGGGTTTCGTAGATATTATAATAATTTCAATAATTAAGATCATGAACCGATTGATGTTAGGCCATCATGAAAAACCTGGAAGTACTGGACGGCCGTTTCGTCCTATTGTGTGACTCCTCAGCAGTGCGCATCCACGGTCCCGCTCGCGGGATTCATGGATTGGTTGAGGTTAGACATTAACACCATTGGATGCCGGCTCAGTGGTCCAGTAGGTTAAGCGTACACACGAGAGACTGAAAGCCCTGGGTTAGAATCCCGCGGTCGTGATCGTGGATACGCACTACTGAGGAGTCCCACAATAGGGCGAAACGGCCGTTCAGTGCTTCCGGGTTTTCAACAGTAGTCTAACATCAATCGGTTCATGATCTCAATCAAAATTATATGATTGACTTGATTATTACTATTCTATATCATAGTTTTAATTGTACATTTATACTTTCATTGAATAAATAGGTGGAATATCCAGATTACTTTGCATATGATGCTTGTGAAGAAGTTTTATTATTCCCATCAGAAGAATCACATGATGGTGTTAAGTAGGCTAAAGTTGTTTTTTCTTCTTCATTCATTCATTGCATGTTTTAATGATTATCTAAGTGTACTGTATTCTATTGCATTTTCTATTGCATAACTAGTTACTAACCTGCTGGGTTTTTCTTTTTATAATTTTACAATACATGGAGCATGATGATGTGTTTTCTTTTAGCATGTAATACTTTCATTACTTATCTATCATAATAGCAATATCCTTATATCGTATGTAACTGAATTATATGGTTGATTGAGATCATGAATGAATTAATATTTTAGGTCCTGGGTTCGAATCTCGCGAGGAGGGGGGTAGGTCGTGGATGTGCACTGCTGAGGAGTCCCATACTAGGATGAAACTGCCATCTAGTGTTTCCAGGTTTTCCATGATGACCTAATTTCATGGTCTCAACAATCGAAATTACTAAAATCTCCACAAAACCCCTTCTTCTTTTCATTTCAATCTTCTTAATCTCAAATCTTTATTTAAACACATAAATAGTGGTACAAGAAGGTACCAAATATATATATGTGATACCCTTCGTCATTCGATTTGTGTCTAAGAGCTAGAATACTGTCTGGATGTAATAACCGAAGATGATTTTTTCAGGGGGCCACTTCTTGAGCCTTTGACCTAGAGGTCTAATTCATAAGGCAGTGGAGAGCTGTAGTCCCATGATAACCGGTAGCCAACAATAGGTTTATGAGACATGTGTTCCCTCAAGATCTTGGAGAACATGTACACTATTGATTTGGAATCAGAGTTTCTTAACTTCTCTTAGGTGAATCCATCTTATCTACCATGTTGTTCAACTCGATGATTTTGTAATGGAGTAACTAAACATAGCTTAACGGTAATAAAGAAAGATGTGGGTTGAAATCAGTCAAAGCGAACCCAAATTATGAATTGAGGAGAAATGATAATGATGTAATCAAAACTTGAGAAAGATTTGAAATAATGAATGATATAATAGGTAAAATGTAGGTTTAATCTTACTAGAGTAAACAAAGACAGATTACTGGTTCTTTTAGGACACATAGATCTGATTCTAGACCTTTGATCGCTATAGCTACGTATAAAAATTCACATATATCTGCCATAGTAGTTATATAAGTAGATTTGAAAGAAGTGCCTACGTTCGATTCAAAGAACATAAGCTTAATTGGATTAAAAGCAATCAGCATTGTCATTTTGAGACATCTCTTTGATACAGAACATCAAATGAATACATTGAAGTCCTTCAAGATAATGAATAAACAATCAAATTCCAATCTTTTGATATCCTTCAAAGCTATAGCGATCAAACGTCAAAAATCATATCTATGTATCTAAAATGAGGCAGTAAGAAGTCATTCTTTACCCTGGCAACATTACATCCCTTTTATTACATCATTCATTGTTTCAAATCTCCCTCAAGTTTTGGTTACATCACCGCCATTCTTCTTCAAATCATAATTTTTGTTCGGTTTGATAAAGTTCAACTCATACTTACTTACTTACGCCTGTTACTCCTTGTGGAGGAGCATAGGTCGCTCATTAGCACTCTTCATCCAACTCTGTCCTGAGCGATCCTTTCCAGCTCTTTCCAATTGTTATTCACCCTTTTCATATCTGCTTCTATTTCCCGATGTACTGTATTCTTTGGTCTTCCTCTTTTCCGTTTCCCTTCAGTATTCCAAATTAGGGCTTGCCTCGTGATGCAGATTGATGATTTGCTTAATGTATGTTCTATGTATTCCCATCATCTTTTCCTAATTTCTTCTTTATCTGGAAGTTTGTTTGTTCTCTTCCACAGTAGATTGTTGCTGATGGTAGCCGGCCAACGGATATTGAGTATCTTGAGAAGACAACTAACCAGACGCTAACCAGAGTTCAACTCACATCTTCCTTTATTATCATTAATCTGTTTTCAGTTACTTCATTACACAATTATAGGTTGTAAGCAACTGATGGAGATCAAACAAAATAGAATGAATTCATATTAGTTCACATGGATCTTTGTATCATTTGTATCGTTTTGTATCAGTTCAAAGGCTTACATTACACAGAATTTAAAAGCATATTGTCCTTCCTTTTATTGAGATGATGTGATTCATAGAATCAAGGAAGTAAGAAATGAAATAAATATCCATCAATATTGTTTATTAAAAGTAATACTGTACTATATGCTACTTATATTGATAGATGTAAGTAGTATGTAATGTCAATCAGAAGTAGAATGTTGATGAAAAGAATATTGAGATGAAGGAATTGAAGGGAACAGAAAGGGACTGGAATCAAAACAGAATTGAAAGGATCATAAGGGATGCAGAGGACAACTGCAAGATGTGCAAAGGATGTATTTGATGTATGAATTCACATTTTGCTAAACTATTGTATGATTATGAATGAAACACCCACCTAAGTCTTCGTTCACTGTAATACTGTTTATCAAATTTACATAGTAAAACAAAACAAATTTCGATTCAGTACCTAGATCATATTGTATCAGTTTGAAGACATTGATTACTTTTACTTCATTACGCCTGTTACTCCCAATGGAGAATAGGCCATCGGTCAGCATACTCTAACCCAATCTGTCCTAGGCCTTCCCTCATGGCTGTATCTTATTGTTGTTCATTATTATCTGGTCTGTCTCCATTTCTCGGCGTAATATGTTCTTTGCTCTCCCGCTCCTCCTTTGGCTTTGAGGGTTCCAAGTGAGGACTTGCCTTGTGACGTATTTGGGTGTTTGCCTCAATGTGTGTTCTATCGACTTCCATCACTTCTTCCTGATTTCTTCCTCTGCTGGGATCTGGTTTGTCCTCTTCCACAGTAGATTTTTTGCTGATAGTGTTTGACCAACGGATCCGAAGTATTTTGCATAGGCAACTGTTAATAAACACTTGTATCTCATGTATAATGGCTTTTGTAGTTCTCCAAGTTTCCGCCTTCCATACAGTAGAACTGTCTTGAAATTTGTATTGAAAATTGATTCATTACAGTCTTAGATTATAAGTAGACTTAAACCAAGATGATCAAAACTTCTATTACTTTTATATTTTGAATAATTCCAAGAGTTTAACTGGACACTATCAGTATTCTTAGATCATGCAAAATATTAGCCTTGAGATATCCAACGTCAATAAGTTTACTTTTCAATGGTCATGATCATGAGTCAGTTGAAGCTATACCACCATGGAAAACCTGGAAGCACTGAACAGCCGTTTCGTCCCATTGTGGAACTCCTCAGCAGTGCGCACCCACGACCTCGCACCCTGAGAGATCCGAACCCAGGACCTACTGATTTCGCGCGCGAGCACTTAACGACTAGGCCACTGAGCCGGCATCCGACGGTGTTAATGTCTAACTTTAACTAATCCACGAAATTGAGCGACATATCCACAGTTGTCTTCATTGAGTTACTATCTCACAACAGACCTGGTTGAACTCCACTGGTCACTACTTCTCACTAGAACTCCAAGATATACCTCGTAAAGCCGGTCACTAGTGAGCATATGTTGATTAATATCAGATGGGTTTTGTGGATATTATAGTAATTTCAATGGTTAAGATCACGAGTCAGTTGAAGCTAGACCACAACGGAAAACCTGGAAGCACTGAACAGCCGTTTCGTCCTATTGTGGGACTCCTCAGCAGTGCGCATTCACGACTTTTGTTAAATGCATGATATCTATTATTCATTGTATATACATACAATTCATTCATAGACTAACACAATCATCATTCATGAAGTTGCATATTATGATTGTATTACTAACGCATCAAGTATAATATGAGTATACTGTTATGCTTTATGTCTTGTATAATTAGTCATATATGACTGCCTATAACTGCATGATGAATCGTCTCTGTAATTAAAGATTAAACACCTCTATTAAAAAAAACCTAGATAGATCTGTGTCTAAAGACAACTTATTACTTTTCTTCTCTTCATCAATCAAACCGATGATCTCGTCAAACCACATATGAATTCTTCAACGGATTCCTTATCGAACTCTTGAAATGATTTGAATACATTATACTTAAACATGTATCATTAACGTTATACATTATAATTCATGATAACATTATTATGATTAGTTTTACCCATGGAAACATCGTATTTACTTTTCAACATAGTGAAAATCTACGTACAATCAATTTTAATCAATATGATTCTAAAGCTAAATTACGTAGACAAAGTTTACTTGGTCGTTATCGTTTAGATTCAACAACAGGTGCACCATTAAATCCAATGGGTAGAACAGGTTTATTAGGTAAAGGATTATTACCACGTTGGGGTCCAAATCATTCATTTGTATTATGTATTACAAGATGGACAAGAGATACACGTACTGGTGTACAAGTAATAAGAAGTAATCGTGGTGTATTACAATATTTGGCATTAGAACGTAATAAGAGATTATGTATGCCATGGGTAAGTTAAATGTATTCATTTAATATCACTATTCAAGGTATACAGATAAAATGATTTAGTTTTTGGGTGTCTGAAGTGTTTGTAAGCTTGTTAGTAATGTCTCTGACTGTGAAGCTGGGTGACAAGGGATCGAATCTGTCAGGGAGCATCAATTCCCTCAAAATTACAGGTAGCATGAAACCTACGTCTAGGGTTTCCCGTGGGCTACCTTCAATCACCATCTTATGCAATGACGAGTCATCTAGACTAATGGCTACATTACAGGATTCGATCTGCACTAACAAAAACAATGACATACATGACATTGATTACTATCCAGTGATCAATCAGCTGACGAGTCCCAAATAAGACAACGTGACGCGTGTCCTGGATTACACTGCTAGCTACCATCCATCTTTACTTATAAATAGTATTATCATAAACTCTCCTAAATAGAAGTGATCTCATTCCAGAATTATTAGAACATACCATCTAATTACTTTTAATAAATTCATACATCATAGAGATTTGAGTCTATTTCAAAGTTTCAAGAAACATTAACTAAATTGTAAGGGATTACTATAGACTGTATGAATGTTCCAGAAGATATAAGTCATATACTAACCTTGATATCAATCTCAAAATAGACAGTTGTAAACGATTTACACACCATAGATTAAACGCACAATTATTTTTCATTATTACCACCAATACAACAAATCTTTCAATGCGGGATTAAAACCCAGGGTATTCAGTCTCGCATACGAACGCTTAACTTCTAAACCACTGAGTCGGCCGGCATCCAACCGGTGTTAATGTCTAACTTCAACCAATCCACGAAATCGCGTGACTATCTTCCACTATATTGAGGTAGATACCTGTCTCTACCCGATACGGATTAGCTCCATTGGTCATGGCTTCTCACTAGAACTTCAAGAATTCCCTCACAAAGCTAGTCACTGGTGAGTACATGGTAAATATCAGTATGGGATTGCGGAAATTATTAAGTTTTTAGATTGAGATCATGAACCGATTGATGTTAGATCACCACCAGGTTTTCAATAGTGGAAACATAGTTTTATTTTCATTGGTATCAATTATTATACAGAGAGATGTTATAACAATATGACTAATCATCATTGTATATTGTTGATCATTTCTTTTCTTCTTATTATTATTATTTCAGTATTTAACAGATCATACAAACAAATGTGATTTTGATGAATGTGTACCAAAGATTATAAGCAGTTTAGTGACTCGTCGAGGACGTGCTATACTTCCAGAGAAAAGAGTTGAAAGATTATTGAAACGTATTGAAAAGGCTGAAGTTACACAGGTAATGAATAGAATATTTTCTTTTCTTTATAATATGGTGTCGTTCAACTACAATACATATGTAAACAATGTATTTCGTGCATTTTACTAACCAAACTCTCTTGGATTGTGAAATCCTCATGATTGTCGGGTTAGTTTTGTTGTAGTGATCTCAGTCTTAATATAATTGAAAACCTAGAAGTACTGAATAGAATACTCATCTTGATATAGGAAAAGTCAGCAATGATCATCTATGACCTCGCACATAGGAATCAAGCATAGGACTTTCGGTCTTGCGCGCAAACTAATCTCCAGTTCACTAAGCCATAACATAACGGTGTTATTATCTAACATTAATTTGCTGAGTTGAATTCGTAGTAGAGCTCACCACTTTTAATGATCCTATATCTGACCACAATTGGATCGCTTCTGATTGCCATTGAGATATATATGTCACTAATCCTCGTATGTACCTAAATAAATGGTTGCTCTGGTTGTCAGAAGGGGCATCGGCCTCGTGAATTCCGAAGGAACTCGGCTTTCATCATGAGGCGTCATAGTTCTTGTAAATGAAGACCTTCTGACTCCTACGGCAGAGTTTAAAAGTTTTGAATAATTTTTTCTGGTTAGCGTCTTTTTAGTGAGTTAGTTTTCTACGGGATGGGGTCGCTAACCCCATGCCCAACCCTCCTCCTTTATCTGGGCTTGCGACCGGCAGTAGCCCCCGGAGGGACTCCAGGCGGATAGGACGCACATTGAGGAAAGTACCCAACTGTGTCACAAGACAAGCCCTCACATGGAATCCTTAGGGTCAAAGGAAAAGAGGAAGATCAAAGTAGAACACATTACGCCGAGAAATGGAGATAGACACGAGAAAAATGAACATGAATTGGATAGAATTAGAAAAGAAGGTCTAGGACAGAATTGATTGGAGAATGCTGGTCGACGGCCTATGCTCCATTAGGAGTAACAGGCGTAAGTAAGTAAGTAAGTAATCCTCGTATGTAATCATCAACTTAACTGGTGTTAATGAATAACGGAATTAAAATAAGCCAAATACGAGAATGGATTTTTAAATGCGTATATTTTGTACACTCGTTGATAGGAACAGACTGTCAGAGATACATAGCGAAGGAAGCGAAGAAATGAGAGCGAAGCGAAACGAAATAACGCGCAGTGGTGAATGCGCGTAAGCCAACTCAGTTTAATCAAGCGTGAATCAAACGAAAATAAGTTACAGACATGTGATAAATAAGATAAGACATGTACACACATACGCTCATATAAAAACAGTCAATGTTGATAAAGGAATAGTTAACAAGGTCAAAACGTAACTCAAGAAGGATAGATAAATGGACTTATCCAGAAGATAGAATAAGTTATATGAGTTTAACATGGTAAATACCACTACAAATTCGCGATATTGTATGATTGCCATCGATTGCTTACTGGGCATAACTGTCTCACCTTAGACATGGAGGTTTAGCTAAGATTAGTCCATGATTTCAACAACAAAAATTCTACGATCTTAAACAGTCAGCCTGGCAATCAAACATGCTCAGGTCGGTACGTATATGAAGATGAAGTAAATTGAATTATAGTATTATCCAATTCTGATGATTAACAAACACTATACGTGGTGATTAGAATAAGAATAGGATCGTAATAGAAGTTACTATCTGCACATCGAATTTGAAATTCGATCATTCAAAATATACATGAAACTGTTTTTATATGTTCAAATTCAACTGACTAAGATATTGTCAATCGACCGTTACGTTTCACATTATAGTTTACCTGAGAAGATCGTCAATATCATCCGGAATTCATACGACAGACTACACTGCAAAGTCATGCATGGAGGACAACTGACAGGCACATTCCAAGTGAGGACCGGATTCAGCCATGGCTGCTTACGCTCCCCGTTTCTCTTTCTTCTAATGGTTGGTTGGATTATGATGACTTTGATATTTGGGGAGAAGCACGAAATACAATAGACAAATCGTAATCAATTAGAAGACCTGGACTTCACAGATGACCTAGCTGTTTTATTCCATACACACAAACAAATCCAGGTAGAGACATCCGGTTCAGAAGCAGCTTCAATCTACAGCAGTAAGCCTCAACATACACAAAGGAAACAGCAAGGTCCTCCAATACAACACGGAGAACACCAACACAATCACACCTGATAAAAAACTCTGGAAGAAGTGAAAAGTTTCACGAATCTAGGAAGCATCATTGATGAACAAGGAGGATCCAATGCAGACGCGAAGGCGAGGATTGGCAAAGTATGGGCCTCAAGTGAAGAATATATGAAACTCAAAACAGCTGCAGACCAAAATCAAAGTCACAATCTTCAATACAAACGTCAAGACATTTAATTCTATTTTACGGAACTGAAACGTGGAGAACTACTACAACCACCACCAAGAAGGTACAAGTATTTATAAATAATTGTCTACATAAGATACTCAATGTCTGTTGACCGGCTACCATCAGCAAAAATCTACTGTGGGAGAGGATAAACCAGCTTCAAATTGAGAAGGAAATTAGGAAAGATATTGGAAGTGGATAGGATATACATTACGCAAATCATCAAACTGCATCATGAAACAAGCCCTAATATGGAATCCTGAGCGAAAGTGGAAAAGTGGAAGACCAAAGAACACACTCCGCCGAGAATCGGAAACAGGTATGAAAAGGATGAATAACAACTAGAAAGAACTGTGAGGGATTACCCATGACAGGTTTGGATGTAAAATGCTGATGAGTGGCCTATCAGTCAGTCAGTCAGTCAGTAAACGTAGAACTTCGTAAGTACGTACATCATTTCGAGTTGCGACACCACGTTAACACAGAGATACAGTGGTCGATTCAAATCCCATAGTGGTAGAGATAATAAATGTATAAGCAGTAATCGGGAAATTTAGTATTTGGAGATGTTATTTAAAGAGTATAATACAGTGAAATAAATTTGGGAAGAGAAAAAAAAGAGACAAGGAGGAATAAGGAGATCAAAATTTGGTAGAACACAAAGAGTGTATGCACCTGCGCCATTGCAAACGATTTCAGCCATGTCATTCAGGGTCTTTAACCATCGGCCTATACTCCTATACGAGTGGTAACAGACGTAAGTAAGTAAGTACTAACTCTTGTTAGAGTGGTAGAAAACCTGCAGTGTACGCTACTTATGCTTACAGATATAAGTAGTATGTAGCACCAGTCGAAAGTGAAATGCCTATCAAAAGAAGATAGAGATGATTGTAATGAATAGAACAAGAAGAAAATTGCAGGGAAATCGAAATAACAACAGGATGATGAATTATGTAAAGGACAACTCAATGAGTTTCCAACCCCCCTCCATGTCTTCCTTCACTACAAACGTTTTTGTAATACACAACTACCGATCATATAAGTTTGGTTAATAAGTTTAATTCCTCCAGAAGGTAAATATCTCTTATAATCAATGGAGAGTGTATTAACAAGCTTCATCTTAATAGTCTTATTCTATAAATTCAATAACTATTACGTAATAATAATATGACTAGTGTTGTGGATGGTTGGAAGAAAGTTAGGGATGGCCAAATCAAAACATGGCATCAGTCTTTGAAGTCACAAATTTCTGGTCTTAGCTATGTTGGTAGATGCAGACTACTTGGTTTCGGTCTATCCGACTATCGTAACCGATGGTTGGAGACTCTGGGTAACATAGTTCAGAATTGATCACAATGGTGTGGGTGTATACACTATTTGTTTTCGTTTAAACCATGAGATTAAAATTACTTTATACTTTTTCTTCTACGAACTAATTCTTTCATCTTGTATTATATCCTTATATGCAAAATCTTTCTTTTATATATTACCACCACTGAATTAACTATTTCTATAAATCCGGTGTTCATCTTGTTGTGCTAATGCGGTATGGCAACTTGGACCGATGGATGTATGTGCCTGATCCGAAACTGAAACCGCTGAAAACACAAATAACATCAGTCGAAACGAAAACATTATACATGAACAGTGACGTTAAGAGTGACAGAGCCACATACGTCTTAAACAGTAGAATTTCTGATTCCTTAAAATGACCGTTCTTAACAGCAACATTGCGAATAGTATTCTCCAGTTGATCATTGTTCATCAATAATCTTAAGGATAAATTACGTCATGTGACCAACTCAATGTGCATTTATCAATGTACCTTCTCATATATAGCCAGGTATATAGGTCGTTCAATGCATAATTTATCCAAAAGCATTCTAGAACATTAACCGGAGTGACTAAGAAGAGGAGGAAACGGTTTATTAAGAAGTCCAATAATCGAACACCTTATGAACACAGATCATTCAATCAAGACAAACTCTGCGTTCAAAGTCATCTACAAGGTAAGTAGAAGGCTTCCTAAGACAATTAGACTGCATCTTCTTTGCATTACAGAGGCAATAGCCATACATTTTGAAAAACCAGAATTATGTGTACAAAAGAGACTGGTACAACCTCTTCTTCTATCATGGTTTTAATATGTTATAATTTTTTTTCTTCATACTCGTGTGACTGCAGGTTATGCTAGGCAGCGTATTTATTGATCGCGATCTGTGGCAGTGACACGGAAAACACGTACGGACGACCTAGTGCCTGATTGGCCCTGCTTCGCTGTCCGTCCTAGCCCAGTTGAGTGAAGAACACAAGTCACAGCCTCTGAGTTATGAATCATTATATTTCAAACATACTCTATTTATATACCAAGCAAACAAACCACATCGTACCATAAAATAGGAAACAACATTTGTACAATATTTAACAAGTGAAATAAACATCGACCAATAAGAATGTACATTTAAGGTTCAAGGACACCATTGAACTTAACATGGTAATTATTGGTCTCTTTTTCCGACTATCCCAACACCTCCCCTTTTTCGAAAGATGCGGAGTTCATATCTGCGTTTTAAAATTTTCTGCGTCCGTCCTCCCCCGCGAAATAACGTTGGGTCCTCATATACCCAAGTAACAGTTAGTCTGACTCTATTTAAAGCATATTTCGCGCATTGAGTAGAGGGTTCACTAAAACTGACTAGATGATGAGGATTAGCGACACCAGACATGAGGTCATTAAGGTTTGATTCTTGTGAAACATATTCATCAGACCTCTTCAAAATTCCAGTGGGTAATAGGTCACTAAAATAGACAGCATCTTCGAAATTTGTATTTGATTTCTGACCATTATTTGATGCACGGGAAACATTTTCCGGCACGAGAGGTTCTTCTTGTAAGCTGGATACCTCACATGTTTCAGGCACAGTGGGATTCGAACCCACAACAGGGCATGCTTCTGAATTGGGCACTTCTGAATCGCTGGACGGATTTCGAGCGACTGCCTCATTTGCATTACTGATCATAAGGGATTCATGGAGGCTTTTGTTTTTATCTTCATATGTCCTGCAGTCATTCTCGAGTTCAGTTTGTAAGTGAGAAATGAATTCATCAGTTTCTTTCACATCTCCGAAACATGGGAGATCTAGCAGTCGCGTTCGTAAATAGTCCAAAACACGCTGTTGCTGGCGATATAGTAGTAGCTGAAATTGATCGGGAAGGCTAGTCATTTTCTGAGTCAGCAGGGTAATGAGAAATACTGTAATCAATTAACAACCAATGATTCCCAAGGACGCCAATGAAAAATCTGGATACTGATTGGTCAAAATAATTATGCTGAATCTCGTCCAATTAGAGGGTTCAAAATTTTCTCTACCCCGTCGCCAATTGTTGTAACGTGTGAGACTGCAGGTTTTTGATACGCAGCGTATTTATCGATCGCTTCTGTGACAGTGACACGGAAAACACGTAAGGACGACCTAGTGCCCTGATTGGCCCTGCTTCGCTGTCTGTCCTAGCCCAGTTGAGTGAAGAACACAAGTCACAGCCTCTGGGTTATGAATCATTGTATTTCAAACATACTCTATTTATATACCAAGCAAACAAACCACATCGTACCATAAAATAGGAAACAACATTTGTACAATATTTAACAGGTGAAATAAACATCGACCAATAAGAAATGTACATTTAAGGTTCAAGGACACCATTGAACTTAACATGGTAATTATTGGTCTCTTTTTCCGACTATCCCAACATACTCTTCTTCTTTTATAGCCATCTACTTCCCCTTTCATCTTCTCCTTAAACATTCTACCCCCAAATGGTTTATTTCTGTTTCTATGATCCCACCTTGATTACATCTTATCATGCTAAGCCATCCTTTCACAATGAACTATATTGGAAATACATTTTAAATAGTCTCTTATATTTCTGTTAAGTGTTCAATCAAATTCAAAGTATTTCTCTTTTATGTAACTTTTTTTTAGATTTTCAAAGGTTACTTAGATGATCAGTTAAATGCGGATAGTGCATGGATGGAAACTGTTGTGATTAATTTACATGAATCGGAGAGTAAAGGAGCTCAACTACCAGATGACATATTAAAGGTAAGTTATATTATAATTGGATTTTTCTTTTGAAACAAAAAAAATCTATTCAACATAAAAACAACACACTTAAAGTGGGTGAGGGATCATTTCTCGAATCTTTGGCCTACAGTTCTAATCCATAAAGCAATGGAGAAACATTAAGAGCTGTGATTTCATGATAACCAGTAGGCAACAATAGGTTTATGAGCCATTTGTTCCCTCAGGATCGCGGAGGCCATGTACACCATCGGTTTTGAATCAGGATTTCTCAACTATCTTCAGGTGGTGGATCCTCCATATCCACCAACGTGGTTAAAGTACTGGACATTCACTTTTCGTCCTCTCAATTTAGTAAAAACACGCCTGGTTCGAAGGTAATGATTAGGACTTCCATGATAGTAGTTGTATATAGGTGACCATGTGAGAGCGTTTGGAGAGAGATAAAGGACTCTCCTCATCCTGGATATTTCTATTCCCAGTTTATAAATTCAATTAGTTTGGGATTAACCTTTGTTCATCATTGAATATTTTCGCGTTCGCACGAGATAACGACGGGTTCTGGATTTGAATCCCGGGATCGTGAATACGTACTCTTGAGGAGTCCCATACTAGGACGAAACGGCAGTCCAATGATGGTCTAAAATCAGTCGATTCATGATCTCAATAAGAAAAATTCAAAATAATTTGTCCCTTTTATGAGTTTAGACCATTCAATCAGATGATGAAGTATATCAGATCAATGTAATAGGTTGTGCGAGGAGCCCGAAAAAGACAACTTTCATCGTACTTATAACAACATCCAAGATCGTCTTGTTGACGATCAAATTCCTCTCTAACCTCTTAATATCTTCTGTATCCCGATACATACACCTTCTCACAGCTTTATTATCACGAACCATCAATGTTAATGATTTGAGTTCACGAAATGTTATTCCTGGTCCGCTGAAACCACACTCTAAACTAAATGTTGATGCTTTTAATGTCAAAACCTTGTACCATATAAGACAACAGGCTTTTTTAGCCAGGATCTTTAAATCTCGCGGTATATCAGTGAATGAGGCATCAACCGCATCTTCAATCCGTGTCGAGTAGAGATAGGTATCTACCTCAGTAAAATGAAAGATGGTCGCTGAATTCCGTAGATTGGCTGAGGTAAGAAATTAACACCGTTGGATGCCAGCTCAATAGCCTGGAGGTTAAGCGTCCGTGTGCGAGACCAACCGGTCTTGGGTTGGAATCCCACGGAACGGGATCATGGATGCCCACTGCAGAAGAGTCGCATAATAGGACAAAACGGCTATGTAGTGCTTCCAAGTTTTTCAATGGTGATCTTTATTTATTTATTTATTTTATTTTAACACAGATATTGGTACAAGAGGCACCAAATACATATGCGCCACACAAATCTCATTTGATATGTGTGAGGGCTATGATACTGCCCAGGTGCCCAGACCGAAACAGGTGGTTTTCTTAGGGGGCCATACTTCGAGCCTTCGACATCTAGGTCTGATCCGTAAGGCAGTGGAGCAACGTAAGGAGGTGCATTCCCATGGTAGCCGGTGATCAACGATTGGTTCATACGCCATTCGTTCCTTCAGGATACTGGAGCACATGTGCACTATTGGTTTGGAATCAGGGTTTTCCAGCTCCGCTAGATGGACTCTCTATGTCCATCAACTCTGTTAAAGCACCGCACATTCGCTTTTCATCCTCTCGATTTCGTAAACAACACCCGTGGTGTGAGAAGGCAGTGAGTAGGACTTCCCTATCAGAGGCTATGTACACGTTGCCATGTGAGAGCATTTGTAGAACGAGAGCGGACTCTTCCCACTCTCGGCCGTATTAGGGCATTTGGGGGCTAACATCAATCGATTTATGATCTTAATCAAAAAATTTTTTTTCTTTGTTCTTTTCCCATAGTTACTCAATGAACCTGGTACAGAAGAACAATGTAAATGGGTTGAAGTATCACATAGTAGTAATCTACGTACAAGTCATAATTATATACTTAAGAATGTTGCAGAACTTCGTAGAGCATTCTATTAATTCAAAATACTTCAAAGATAATGAACTCATTCATCTTACCTATTTATTATATTAAACACAAATGAAAATGTTGACTACATTCTCAAAATTTACAAACAGTATTCAATTCATTTAATGAATAACTCAATCAACTTTATGAACTTTTTAAAAAAAGTACAAAAAGATGGTCTCCATTTGTTTGTTTTTCCTGGAATTTCCATGATCTAATCAAGTTTACTATTGTCCATTTTATAAAGAGAAATGTATTATTTCTTTGATGTTTTGGTCATTGTGTTGTTTTAAACCGTATCAAAAGGATATACTAATTTCAATAATAATAATAATAATAATAATAATTGAGTGAATGAATGGTACTGGGTTCGAGTCCCGGAGTGAATATCAACTACGGGTTGTAGGTAGGTACATCTAACTGACGACGAGTCCTAGATAGGACGAAACATGCATCAAACTAGATTTCACTGGTGGTCACTATCCATCTTTGCTTATGACTTGCTTGTGACTTAGGATAATATCGAGGCAATCTGTAGAGGATGTACATATGCCAATAAGAGACTGATCAATTGCAATCTTAAACAACAATAGGAAGATACAAGTAAAACAACACCAAGTGAATTTTGAATGAATTTAGATTTAAATATTGAGCTACTTATAAGTAGTGAAATATATCCAACAGAAAAAGTAATTTTCATAGTTGAGATCATGAGTTAAATGAAGCTAGACCACCATAGAAAAACTGAAAGCACTGGAAGGCCTTGATCCTAGGCTCAAATCTTGCGAGGCGGAATCGTGGAAACGCACTGCTGAGGAGTCGAATACTGCGATGAAACGGCCATCCAGTGCTCCTATGTTTTCCATGATGGTCTAGCTTTACTTGACTCATGATTTCTATAATTGACATTACTAAAATCTCCACAAAACACTTTCCCACTTGATATTGTTTATTTGAATCTTCCCATTGATATTTAGGACTACAATTGATCAGTCTCTTATTGACATATGTGCATACTCTACGTATTGCCTCGATATTGCCTTAATTCACAAGTTGTTATAAGCGAAGATGGATAGTGGTTAGCAGTGGAATCCAGGGCATGAGTTTCACCCTATTTGAGGCTTGTCAGTAACTAAGTGAATAACGCGATGACGTTTGAAGCAACTAGTACTGGAATCAAGTCCCGAAGTGAACATCAACTCTGAGATGTAAGTACACCCAGCTGACGAGTCCCCAAATAAGACGAAACATATGTCCTAAATTCCAGTGCTAGCCATTATCCATCTTTACTTATGAATAAAGGGAATTATTTTTAAAAAAACTTCCAGAAAAAAATACAGAAAAATAAAACTGACAAACAATACTGATAAAACGACAGAATTTACAAAGAATAACACAGACCGTAAATATCTATCAATACTACAAGTAATTAGATACTAATGAGTACTATTGATGAATAATTACTTTAGTGTAAAAACTATGAATTGGTAGCATTTATAGATACTACTACTGTGTGGGGTGGAAACTTGGAGAACTACGATAGTTATCATTCAGAGTATACAGGTGTCTATTAACAGTTGCCTATGCAAAATACTTCGGATCCGTCGGCCAAACACTATCAGCAGAAAATCTACTATGGAAGAGAACAAACCAGATCCCAACAGAGAGAGACATTAGGAAGAAGTACTAAAAGTGGGTAGAACATACATTGAGGCAAGCACCTAATTACATCACAAGGCAAGCTCACACTTGTAATTCTCAAGGCTAAAGGAGAAGAGTAAGATCAAAGAAGAACATAATACGCCGAGAAATGGAGACAGACATGAGAAGAATGAACAACAATCGGATAGAACTATGAGGGAAGACCCAGGACAGATTGGGTTGGAGAATGCTAGTCAGTGACCTATTATCCATTGGGAATAACAGGTCAAAATAGGTATGTAAGTACTAATAAATACTTTTGATAAAGTTTTGTTCCCTGAGCTGGATGCTTTAGTCGTGGAGCTTACATTATCAGCACAAACTTCAGGCTAGTAAATAAATATTGATGAATGTAATTAGTTAGTAAATAGTACTAGATCAATACTCATATACGATATTTAGAAATGAATCTAAATGAATATATACGACTTGAAGATACTACTGATAACTAACTAGTAGTATATACTACTAATAAAAGAATACATACAAATACTACGAATGAATACCATCAATATGCAGAACTAATAAATAAGTATCATTACATACATACTACTATTAGATATTACTGATATATACTATTAACAAATACTACTAATAACTGTGAAGCTGGGTGACACGAGATCGAATCCGCCAGGTAGCACCAGTTCCCTCAAGATTACAGGTACACCTTGCTGACGAGTGCCAAGTAGCACGAAACCCGGGTCCAGAGTTTCCTGTTGACTACCTCCAACCACCATCTAAATCTCAATACATAGTGCCCGCAGTGTCGAGTCACCTAGACTGGTTGCCACATTGCAACATGATCGATAGCATTCGATCCGCACTAATAAGGACTAGACAAGCATGAAATTGATCACCACCCAGTGATCAATCAATTGTAACTACTAATAACTTTTCTAACAAACATGATGACTAAAATCTACTAGTAAATAGTATAGAATGTAACACTTATTATGATTACTTGTTGTGAAGTACTTGTTACCAAATGGTTACTGCTGTGTTTTTAGATCATTCTAGAATATATGTTCTATAACCTTTAACAGATTCTTAATATTGTTTCATAACTATTATAAGTAAATTACAAGTTTGTTAGTTGGTTGAAAATAGTTTATGTTGAACTTTGGATCAATGTTTTTTTATTAATGTTGAGTGAAATGGTGCTTGTTGATCAGTTCAGTCCTAGGTCTATAAGTACCTTACGAATATAGGTACACCTTACTAATGACAATTGAATAACTCAGAACATGATACTAAACTTTCTTGTTATTCACTATAAACTAATCGATTTCTCACTGTATTGTACAAGGTATCCTCATTAGTTAAACTAGTGATCATATTACTACTGAATTTATAGTACTCGAATAACCGAAAAGGATTAGAGATACATGATGTTGATGAGTAAGGGATCATTTGTATAATACAACTATGATACATAATCTAGAAAATATGCGTTCTCTCTCACACTCTCTATTCCAATTAATATTCATAAGTACAGAATCAGTTCATATTACTACTGGCTGTCAGTATTGTAAAGCGGAATTGAAGTGAAATAACTGTTTACAAACTATGGTATTAAAATCCATTTACTCAAGCGATAAGATGAAGTGTATGAACTTGAATGAATCAACATAAACATTATCATAATGATAGTATTCAAATAAGAATAGAATGGACGATATATGATAAAGTCATGTTACAATGTTAGTTAAGTTGATTTCTGTCTAACATTGATTTGGATCGGAATCAAACAAGGCTATCTATACTTACCCCCCCCCTCCCCGCACACTTTTCTCTTTCTTCTTGTGGTCGACTGGATTATGAAAACCTCCATATTTGACATTAAGCATGGAATATAATAGACAAGTTGGATGTAACTAGACGATTTGGATATTACAGACGACGTGACCTTTCTATGTTATACAGATGAAGAAAACTGGTGTATTAGCAGACTCTGCATTAGTAGGCCTTAGCAGACTTAAAGAAAAAAGTAAGATTTCAAAATACAACATGCAAAACACCAACACAATTACACTTGGAGAAACTCTCATAGACGTGGAAACGTTCACATATCTGGGAAGCATCATTGATGAACAAGGATGATCCGAAAGAGATGTAAAGGAGAGGATTGGCAAAGCGAGTGTCACATTCCTACAATAGAATAATATTTGGAACTCAAAACATCTGTCAATCAATATCAAAGTCACAATCTTCAATACGAACTTCAAGACGGATAATTCTATTGCACGGAGCTGAAACGTGGAGAACTACTACAACCATCATCAACCATGTACAAGTATTTATAAATAGTTGTCTACTCAAGATACTCGACATACATTGACTAGATACCATCAACCACAATCTACTGTGAGAGAGAACAAACCAGCTTGCAGTTGAGAAGGAAATTAGGAAAGATATTGGAAGTGGATAGGACATACATTACGGAAATCATCAAACTGCATCACGAAGCAAGTGCTAATTTGGAATCCTGAGCGAAAGTGGAAAAGTGGAAGACCAAAGAACGCACTCCTTTGAGAATCGGAAACAGGTATGAAAAGGATGAATAACAACTAGAAAGAACTGTGAGGGATTACCCATGACAGGTTTGGATGTAAAATGCTGATGAGTGGCCTATACTCCTTGATGAGGGGTAACAGTCTTAGGTAAGTAAGTAATTAAATATATGTATACTTTGGTGTCCCCTTGTATCAATGTTTATGTGTTCAAGTAAACAGATCAATAGAAGATTAAAGCATAATATTCTACATTTCAAAGCTGTTATAAACTCATGGTTATCAATATGATATTTCAACTTTTGAATGGTTAATGTATACTGATTCATTTGCCTAAAGAAACAGAACAGTAACTAAATAAGAAGTTATATAGTAAGTACAAATGAACTATTTAGACGATGGAGACTCATTATCCTGATTAAACTAAAGCTTACCAATTATAGTATGATTTAGATGTACCGATAAATTCCTCCAGAAATATAAACAAAAACCTAAACTTCATGTGCTAAAGTTAATTCAACTGCATACCTTGTCATCGGTATACTATCAGAATTGTAATTTACATGTAATTTTATAATTAGATATAATGTCAAACCTTCTATTAGGCATTAACACTGTTGTATACCAGCTCAGTGATCTAGAGATTAAGCGCTCGAATACGATATCAAAGGTTCTGGGTTTAAGTCTCGCATATAAGATCGTGGATGCACACTGTTGAGGAGTCCCATGCAAGGACGAAACGATTATCCAGTACTTGCACATTTCCAATGATTCTCTAGCATATATCAACTCATAAATATAACTATTAAAGTAATTTCATCATTTGATTCGTTTTTATATCAAGCTAACAATATACAACACTATTGCGATAGCAACAGTTCATTTAAACAAAATCCAGCATTATCTAACACTCTATTTATTTATGCTTTTGTAATGAAATATGCACTTTATAGAATGCATATACTTTAATGAAACAATTTGAAACTGTTCTCATTTGTTCATTCTGGTTTCCTGTTTAAAAAAAGAAGACAAACGACTAGAGTAAGTATCCATTTCACTGATTGAAATCATGAGTCAATTGAAGCTAGACCATCATAGAAAACCTGGAAGAACTGGACGGCCGTTTCGTCCTGGTATGAGACTCCTCAGCAGTGCTCATCCACGACCACGCACCATTGAGCGCCGGTTCAGTGGTCTAATTGGTTAGGCTCCTGGCGCGAGACTGTTAGGTCCTGAGTTCGGATCTCGCGGGGTGCGGGATCGAGGATGCGAACTGCTGAGGAGTCCCATACTAGGAAGAAACAGCCGTCCAGTGCTTCCAGGCTTTCCATAGTGGTCTAGCTTCAATTGACTCGTGATTCCAACTATTGAAATTTCTAAAATCTCCACGAAACTTCTTCTGATAAGTATCCATTTAACAATAATACGATGATGAATATTCAACTTTTTTAGTAAGTAAAATGTCACAGAAAACAAACTCCACCTGAAGCCCCCTCTGGGGCCACTGTTAATCCTAAGCCCGGATAAAGGAGGAAGGTTAGGCATAGGGTTAGTGACCCCATCCCGTAAAAAAACTAAACCACCAAAAGGAAAAACGTTAACCAGAAAATAATTCACAGGAAACACAATGTGTTTAAAAGATTATCCATTAGTGTAAATTCATTTTGTATGATTTGCTTGAATTATTCCATTGATATTGAAAAATGCATTAGATTAGTTTCCTATTGTCATATATGCATCCCGGAGTGAACATCAACTATGGGATCCAGATACATCCAGTGGCGAGACTATAATTTATGAATGAGCCAATCAGGTTAAAGATAAAAGGTCTCGGATTTTGGCGCGAAATTCGTTCATCCATTTGGTTAAATACAGGTTTCGCATTATTGCTGATGCCAGCTCGTGATGAAAACCATATATCTAATTGTTAACCTTAACCATCAATTGTAAATCATAATTCTAATTCCTTACACTGATTTACAACCCTGATTTGATTCTAGTTATAAGGTGGACACTCTCAAGGTCAGAATAATGTCACTCAAAGGTCGTCCATAAATTATAGTCTCACTCATCCAGGTGATCAGTCTCAAACAGGACAAAATGCTCGTCAAACCGGATTTCATTGCTAGCCAACTACCATTTTTTGCTTATTATCCACTATCCTGTAATAGATAATACTATTACAGGACAATACAGACAGTAATCAATTCGGTCACTTTAGTTTTTAAATGAACAATTGGTGTATGGGTGGTCAGTATTTGTGTAATATGTCACTGTATATAGAATATTAAAATGTGTGTGACAACACAAGTAATTTTAACTCCATTAATTATATGTTTTCCTAGATCATGTCTATTCGTTATTGAATCAGAAATCATTCTATTACATTACAATATTTGCTTATAAAACAACACAGTTACAACTTGAGTAGACAGTAATTAGATAGTCTTGAATGTATTCACGTATACCGACAAAGAATGCCTAACTCTTCATACAATTTGATTTGTTCTAACAATAGTGAATTCAAGGACAATGATCACTTTGACTGATTGATCATTTCACATAAATAGGGAAATAGGGTTTGTCTTAAGCATGTACCTGTACCAATTGAGTAACACTTGATGGAGAAGCTTTGGAGGATGTAATAAACCTTTACATATCTAGGAAGCATCACTAATGAATAAGGTGGATCTGATGCAGATGTGAAGATGCGGATTGGCAAAGCAAGAGCAGCATATTTATGACTGAAGAACATTTGGAAGTCGAAACAACCTTCAACGAACACCAAAGTCAGAATTTTCAATACAAATGTCAAGATAGTTCTACTGTATGGGGCGGAAACCTGGAGAACTACGAAAGTCATCATCCAGAAAATGCAAGTGTTTATTAATAGTTGTCTATGCAAAATACTTCGTATCCGTTGATCAAACACTATCAGAAACAACCTACTGTTGGAGAGAATAAACCAGCTGTCAGTGGAAGAAGAAATCAGGAAGAAGGGTCGGAAGTGGATAGGAAGTACATTTAGGAAAGCACTCAACTATGTCACAAGGCACGCTCTCATCACTTGAAATAATCGAGGCCAAAGGAGAAGGGAAAGATCAAAGAACACATAGCACTAAAAAATGGAGACAGACATGAGAAGAATGAACAACAATCGGATAGAACTATGAGAGAAGGCCCAGAACAGATTATGTTAGAGTATGCTGGTCGGTGGCCTATTCTCCATTGGGATTAACGGGCGTAAGTAAGTATGTACCAGTAATACCTGAATGACTAAGATTTATTTTCAGATAGAATGTAAGCTGGATAATGAGATAATATAAGCATAATATTTCATTAAATCAATTTAAAACAATCGTTTGAAATATTCCGTTGTTAATAATTCAACTGAAATTTGATCAATCTTGGTTAAAATACGCATATCCAGTGCGGATTGCCTCGGTATAGCCATTATGATACACGAATATTAATCCTGAATATCAACTCTGAGAGGCAGATGCATGAAGCTGATGAGACTTAAATAGGTCAAAACACATATTCATGATTCTACTACTAGCTACATACCATTTATTCTATGTCAACATGTTTCTAGATTTATTTATTTATTTTAACACATAAATATTGGTACAAAGGTGCACCGAATACATATGCCCCATATAAGTCACTTGATTTGTGTGTGGGCTGTGATACTGTCTCGGTGCCTAGACCGAAACAGGTGGATTTCTTAGGGAGCCACAGCCAGAGCCTTCGACCTAAAGGTCTAGTCCACATGGTAATGAGACGACGTCAGGAGATACAGTTATATGGTTGCCCGTGACCAACAACTGGTTAATACACCATTTGATCCCTCAGGATCCTAAAGCTCAAGCTCACGATTGGTTTAGAATCATATTTTCCAACTTCTCTAGGTCGACAGTTCATATCCACCAACCCTCTTAAATCTCCGGGCATTCGCTTTTTGCAATCTCAATTTCGTAAATAACAATAATGCAGCGAGAAGTCGGTGAGTACTACTTCCTTGACAGTGGCAATATGAGAGCATTCCGGGAGGGTAAGATGGCTCTCCTTGCCCACGGCCGTATCCAGGCATTTGGAGGCTACAGGTGTATTCATAAGTGCCCGTAATATATTTGGTTCTAATAAATTAAACTTGAACATAAATCAGAGAATTCACGGTTTAACAGGTTTCCCTTTAATTTATACACCAAAAAGAAAAAATGTCGACATGATCATAAAAATGATTTGACAAGATTGCCTGAAAAGTAAAGTTTCATAAAATTGCACCGTAATAACTTACATAAATGGACGTTAAACTTGCGTTTACTGAAAAGAAAAAATTGAAGTGAAGATGATGATGATGATGATGATGATGATGATGATGATGATGATGATGATGATGATGATGATGATGATGATGATGATGATGATGATGATGATGATGATGATGATGATGATGATGATGATGATGATGATGATGATGATGATGATGATGATGATGATGATGATGATGATGATGATGATGATGATGATGATGATGATGATGATGATGATGATGATGATGATGATGATGATGATGATGATGATGATGATGATGATGATGATGATGATGATGATGATGATGATGATGATGATGATGATGATGATGATGATGATGATGATGATGATGATGATGATGATGATGATGATGATGATGATGATGATGATGATGATGATGATGATGATGATGATGATGATGATGATGATGATGATGATGATGATGATGATGATGATGATGATGATGATGATGATGATGATGATGATGATGATGATGATGATGATGATGATGATGATGATGATGATGATGATGATGATGATGATGATGATGATGATGATGATGATGATGATGATGATGATGATGATGATGATGATGATGATGATGATGATGATGATGATGATGATGATGATGATGATGATGATGATGATGATGATGATGATGATGATGATGATGATGATGATGATGATGATGATGATGATGATGATGATGATGATGATGATGATGATGATGATGATGATGATGATGATGATGATGATGATGATGATGATGATGATGATGATGATGATGATGATGATGATGATGATGATGATGATGATGATGATGATGATGATGATGATGATGATGATGATGATGATGATGATGATGATGATGATGATGATGATGATGATGATGATGATGATGATGATGATGATGATGATGATGATGATGATGATGATGATGATGATGATGATGATGATGATGATGATGATGATGATGATGATGATGATGATGATGATGATGATGATGATGATGATGATGATGATGATGATGATGATGATGATGATGATGATGATGATGATGATGATGATGATGATGATGATGATGATGATGATGATGATGATGATGATGATGATGATGATGATGATGATGATGATGATGATGATGATGATGATGATGATGATGATGATGATGATGATGATGATGATGATGATGATGATGATGATGATGATGATGATGATGATGATGATGATGATGATGATGATGATGATGATGATGACGATGATGATGATGATGGTCGTGGTTTTGGTGGTGGTAGTGTTTTTGGTTGTGGTGGTTTGTAAATACAATCGAATTACAAACTGTTATGTAATGTACATATAAATTCGTACTTATAAAATAGAAAATAACTTGTTACTTCAGAAAGATATTAGCAAGAAAATCGTATTCAGAATTACCTTCCTGTTGCATCGCGACCTCGATATAGGCTATTCTTTCCGTTTGAGGCAGCACTTAAACATTAAATTATTGATAACGAATCGTAAATCAATTTTAACTTACATTCAAGTACCTCTATTCTTTGACGTTCAAGTTGTCTTAACAGCTTGTAATGTATCACTACAAAGAATAAAATTTATGAAATATAATTCTCGATTTATATTATGAATGGATTAATGTTAGACCACTATTGAAAACCTGAAAGCACTGGATATTTGTTTCCTCCTAGTATATAACTCATGAGCGGTGTACATCCACAAATCATCACGCATGAAACCGAAGATCTTGGGTTCGAATCTCGCGTGCCGGATCGTGAATGCGCACTGTTCACGATTCCCATACTAGAATAAAACGGCCGTCCAGTTCTTCCAGGTTTTCAATGTCGATCTAACATTGATTCACTTATGATATTAATCTAAGCTCAACAAGAGTACGAGAAGAGAGAGTGATTGATAGGGAAATGAAATAACAATACATTCTGAGACGATTGATTGACATTTCAAAAATGAAGTAATTACTGTATGGTTCTCAGATTTTACTAAGTCGGAGTTTTGTTCTTTGAGATGGGTAGTTTGGTTTTGAAACTTTCATTGTTCTATTGAACAACAACATCAACACAAACTTTATGTAGTAGTGAAGTATTCTATCAAAATCATCCATATGAGCTACAAATCTTCTTTACCAATATTGACTACTATGATAATTGTCAGAAGGGGTTTGTGGAGATTTTAGAAATTTTCACAGATTGAAATCATGAGTCAATTGAAGCTAGACCACCATGGAAACGGCCGTTCCGTGCTTCCAGGTTTTCCATGGTGGTCTAGCTTCAAATGACTCATGATTTCAATCTGTGAAAATTTCTAAAATCTCCACAAACCCCTTCTGATAATAATCATCTGGTCACTAGTGACTGACTTCAAGAGATACTTCTGGAGTTCTAGTGGGAAGCCGTTACCAGTGGTGTTCAACCAGGTCTGTTGTGAGATATCAGCTCACTGATAACAATGGTATACGGTGGCGCAACTTCGTGGATTACTATGATAATTATCATAACATACTTGACTTAATGTCAAGTTAAGTGGCAACCATTTAGTGGATCAATCAATATTAGAAAACATGTTTAACAAATATCATTTGTGATTTATTTAACTTACACATTTCATTGGACAATGTCATATAGGCGTTTTGATATGCCTGATGTTGGATTTCTATTTGTTTATCCCCTGTGAATCAAGATAATCATCATTAACATATCAGTAGATTATCATAATGTAAAAAGAAGAAGATTGACTTTACCATGTCAGAAATGATCTAAGTATAGAATATTTGAGCACAGATAAACTTTACATATGGAAAAATTAAAATGCTTCAATATGAGCTTAATAAACCTTAACATTTCACTATAAGTTGACATCAATACTTGAAATCATGAATCAATTCAAAGTAGACCATCATGGAAAATCATGAAGTAGTGGGACTCCTCAGTAGTGTGCATCTATTGAAATTACTAGAATCTTCACAAAACACCTTCTCATAATAATCATCTACTCATTAGTGACTGACTTCAAGTGGTATTTCCTGGAGTTCTAGTGAGAAGCCGTGATCAGTGGAGTTCAACCAGGTCTGTTGTGAGATATCAGCTCATTGAAGACAATGTTGGATGTGTTGTTCAATTTCGTGAATCACTTGAAGTTACACATTAACCCCGTTGATTACCGACAAGTTCAGTGGTCTAGAGGTTAAGCGTTCACTCGCGAGACTGATAGGTCCTGTGTCCGAATCTCTCGGGGGGCGGGGTCGTGGACGCGCATCGCTGAGGAGTCCTATACCAGATTTTCCATGATGGTCTAGCTTCAATTGACTCATGATTTCAACTATTGAAATTTTTAAAATCTCCACAAAATCCCTTCTGATATAAGTTGATAGTTTAAAAATAATGATTGTATAAAACCGAAATTCCTGAGTTTGAGTTCTACTCTAAGCATTGTGGATGTATATAGTTAAGAAGTCCCCCACTAGAATAAAACTTTCATTCAGTGATTCCACGTTTTCTAGAATAGCCTAACAACATTGATCGATTCATAATCTCAATGAACATTGAAACAGTTCATTGACTATTAATTCATATATATTACTTGTTCGGATCTTCCCATTGATGTTTAGGTCTAGAACTGATCAGTTACTTGTTGACATATGTGAACCCTATATTGATAGCCTTGATATTACCAATAAATCACGAGTATTTTCAACAGAAATAGATGATGTCTAATAGTGGATGTACGTAAATACAGTTGATCAGTTCCAAATAGGATGAATGGCATCTCCTGGATTTCAATGATAAATTCATTAGCATCTATAAGTTTTGTATTGTGATGAAATAATGAATTACTCTATTTGGTCTTTGGTTACCATGCATTCTTTTTCCAATAACATATAAGCTACTTAAAGTATTTATCGTTTAAGTATCAACCACGGAACAACTCTCGTAGTGAAACTCAAAGTTTCTGAGATCAATCCCTGGTGAAGTCGTCGACGATTTACGTTCCAGAAAAAATTTCCTACTAAAACAAGATTATTGTACTTCGTAGTATTCAATCATCGTCGTACTAAGTGAGTTACGTATTATTAGTTTACATGCCATGAAAAAAAATAATAATAAACTCACTTTGTTTTAATTCTTCAGAGTTTGATTCGAGGAAGGCGTAATTCTCTGTTATGATAATAAAAAGTTATTTTTAAGCAAATATTGATGAGGTCTACAGGTATGTTGTTTCAATATGTTTTAACTAAATATTTCTGAGTATTTTTAATAGTTAAAATCATGAGTCAATTGAAGTTAGACCACCATAGAAAACCTGGAAACACTTGATGATTGTTTCGTCCTAGTATGGGAATCCTCAGCAGTGCACATCTACGACCCCACCTCGCATGATTCCAATACAGGATTTATAGTTCTCAAGTGCGAGCGCTTAACCTCTAGACCACTGAACTTGTCGGTAATCAACAGGGTTAATGTGTAACTTCAAGTGATTCACGAAATTGAACAACACATCCACCATTGTCTTCAATGAGCTGATATCTCACAACAGACTCGGTTGAACTCCACTAGTCACTGCTTCTCACTAGAAATGCAGGAAATGCCTCTTGAAGTCAGTCATTAATGATTATATGATTATTATGGGAAGGTGTTTTGTGGAGATTTTAGTAATCTCAATAGTTGAAATCATGAGTCAATTGAAGCTAGACCATCATGGAAAACTTGAAGGCACTGGACGGCCGTTTCGTCCTACTGTGGATGCGCACTGCTGAGGCCTTGGGTTCGAATCCCGCGAGCGAAATTGTGGATATCCCTACGACCTTGAAACAGGTCTAACCAGCCAATAAAAATAAAGGTAGCGACTGTTAACATTTACGCGCAGTTTTTAAAACTATATTATGGATTATATATTACCGAATGTGATACCTTAGATGATGTTTCACATTTTGAATATTTACTGTTAATATGATTGTAGATCACTTACAAAATGTTAAACTAATACGAAAAAGCATTCTGTTTAACTATGATTAGAAATTGACGTTCAGGTAAGGCATAAAACTAATAGACAAGGTTGACAAGGTAATATATATATACAAATATATGTTATATACATATTACATTCAAATAGCTAACCATAACATTTTGTATATGCAATAGCACTTCTGATTAACTTCATTCGCATCATTTTGATATTGTCTTGAAAATAATTTTGAAGAAAAAGAACATAGAAATGCTGATAAGCAAAGATAGATAATGACTAGCAGTGGAATCCAGTTTGAAGCGCGTTTAGTCCTATTTTGGACTCGTCAGTTGAATGTGCCTGCATTACAGAGTTGATGTTCGCTCCGGGATGTAATGACATTCGAATCGAACGGTAGTAAGTTCGAGTCTCAGAGGATAAAATTCTAATACGGGTGAGACTATAATTTATGGACGAGTCAATCAGAAGCGTTTGAGCGATCACAAGGTCAAAGCGCCTATTTCAATACCTAATGCTCACGTACGACTGATTTACAGCGGATTTTAAAAATGTAATAATTGAGCACCTAAAACAAATGGGATTACTAAGAAGTTCCTTTATTTGTGATTACAGTAATCAAATGACTTCTGAACTTTGTGCATACTATCGTGAGGATGATGTATTTCGATGTTATATATGTTGGAGGAAAGAATTCTGCTACAACGGAAACTGTTTTCACCTGATTACGATTGAGACTAAGACTGATTATGATAATTCTTGCAAACTAAATAATAATGGTACCAACAACACTGGCTGAAACCTTTTCAGATGTTACCAAATCTTCGGCAGTTCAATAGCATGAATATTGACGAGATATATATGCAATAAAAATGACAAGCTAGCATGAGTCGTTTGGAAGAGTTGAGATGAAACGGTTGTTAGAAAACCGAAATTTAATAGAGAACGAAGTGTTAAAAAACACTGGGTTACTAGCATTTCCATAAATATACTTAACAGGTTCTTGGTATATACAATAAACTATCTCAGAAAGAACACTTCCAGCATGTTAGAAACCGACAATTCACAACTATAATACCAATTATACAAGAGTAGGTTCAGCTGGATACCACAGTATACAGGGATGACTGGAGGGTATATCGACGTTGACACAGACTTGGTTAATTGCATCATGACATCGTCCACAAGCGGTATTTTATAAACCTCACCACCGGAGTACACACAAATAATATAGAAGCATTGTGGTCGAGACTAAAACAATTTTTACAACCTTATCATGGCTCTAGAGACCAACTATTATGGAGCTATCCGGATGAGTTCCTTTACCGTAT